GCTTGAAGTTGTCTCAGAGGCTTCTTACACTATCTTCAATTTTCTGGATTCTCTTCTCTTCTTGCTTCTCTGGAAGAGTGTCCTTTGCCATTTTGTATTCCAAATCTTTGACTTGATTATTCCATTCCTCTAGTCAGCTGTTGGGTCTGTATATTTTTTTATTTCAGTCAGTGTATGTTTAATTTCTAGTTGGTCCTTTTTCATATCTTCGAGGGTCTCATTAAATTTATTGGCCTTTTCTAGGAAATTCTTGAAAAACCTTATAACTGTGGTTTTGAACCTATGTCTAATCGTTTGTTCTCCTCCATTTCTTTTGTTTGTGATATGTTTCCTTGTCTCCTCATTTTCGCTGCTTCCCTGAGTTGGTAGGGTAGTTTTGCATGCTGTGTGTCCTATATGGCTCAATGGGTCAGCCTCCCAGTTACCTGATGTGGACACTCTTGGTGCACTCCTTTGTGGACTGTGTGTACAGTCTTGTTGTAGTTAAGTCTTGATTGCTGTTGGTATCACTGGGAGGAATTGACCTCCAGGCCAATTGGCTGTGAGGACCCACTGTATCTATAATGGAAGAATTGCTATGCTGGAGAAACGTTTATGGGGCTGGACTTGTTCCAGTAGGGCTTTGGTGCTCACTGAGTCTGCCTCTTGAATGTGTGCCTAGTCACCTGCCACCAGCCTGATTCTCGTTCCTCTGTATCTCAGCTTTTCAGCATTTGTGGTCCTTTCTCTTTCCTTCTAGTTGTAAGACCTCCATTCAGCCAACTTTCCTGTGGTTCTGAGTGATAGATGTTTTGTCTTTTAGTTGTAGTTTTGAAATTGTTGTGCGAAGTGGCAGTTTAGTTATTTTCCTTTGCCACCATCTTGGTTTCTCTATACAAATGTTATTACTGTTTGTTTGGTCAGAGCAAAAATTACATCAAGATTAGACCTTGTATATGCAGAGCGCTGAATTTTGGCAATTTGAATTAAAGTTTCGCACCTGGGGCACCTGGCCCTGAAACAGGAAGGGCTTCTGGGGTACAAGGAAGGTTGCTGAGGTGTAGGAGAGGCTGCTGGGTGCAGGGAGGATTGCTGAAGTGCACAGGGCATCACCCTCTCTGCCTGATGCAGGTCCAGGGAAGCACTGGTCTCTTAAGGGCTTAGCCAACATGTAATATGCACACAATAAATTTCAGGCATTGCTAAGGATCATCAATAAAGATTTGCTTCCTTAAATGGCTTCCCAATCCAGTTCTATTTGAAACCCCCACCCAAGGGCCTTGTCTGAGTTGAGAAATAAAAAATCTGTCTTCTAAACACAGCTACTTAATGTCTAACTTTGGTAGTCCCTGCCTATTTCCTCATTGCCAATAAAGTTATTGAAATTGAAATATACCACCTGTGTGAGAGATTGTATCAAAAAGACAGATGATGCTTGTGCAGGTAGTGGCAGAGTCACCCTGCTCTGCAATAATCCATGCACCAAACGTTCTCGGCGCCAGGATAGGCAATCCACGCCAGAGCCTGTTCCTTCCCTGAAGCAGCAGGGACAACCTCACAGCCCACCAACGCCCTGCCACTGGCTGGAATAGAAGCAACAGGTTCTGTTGGCGATATGTGTGCACATGTTCATACATGCATGTATGTGCCTAGTGTACATATGTGTGTGCGCGCACATGTATGTACTCCAGTGTATGTATGTATATATTACCCACTTTTCAAAAGTTCATGCTACACCACTTCACTTCTACAAAAGACCCACATTAGTACCTGTTTTCACAAACCGAAAGAAATAAGAGGACTTTCACTTTTTTAAGAAAACAAGGAGAAAGAGAAAATAGCCTCAGCATTTGTTTTGCTCGAGTGGCTAGAGGCGGCCCCAGCACCTCAGGATGCAGGGCTGCCAGCGTCTGGCCTCATCTCCACAGTTTTGGGCATCTTGGCAAGACGGGTCCTTGGGAATCGGAAAAGCCTTGGGGAGCGTGTAAGGGTGTTGCCAGAGTAAAACGGGTTCCACATAAAGCTGTCATATCTAGAGAGCAGGAAGAGACTCCTTCCTCCCCGGCAGATTTCCAATGAGAGCTGTCTTCCATGCGTCCATTTCCCACCTGCTCAGAGAGGGCAGGCGTTACTCTAAGGTAGGGGTGTCGAACTCAATCAGAGAAGGGGCCAAAATCTAAAATCCAGCCTAAATCGCGGGCCGAATGGTTTACTGAACAGTCATAAACTGTCATTGTGATGGAAACGCAGCGGAGTGCAGTGATGACAGCGCGGTGCGGGCCACATTGCAAGGCCTGGCGGGACGGATTTGGCCCGCGGGCCTTGTGTTTGACGCATGTGCTCTAAGGCTTCCTGGGCCTCCGCTGGGGGTTGTGGAGAGTGGGGACTGGGTTTCTTACTCGGTGCCTGTCAGTACAGAACATCCACAAAGGAATAGAGTGCTATGCAAAAAGCACAGAAAATAAGAATGCTCTCAGATTTTGAAAAAATATGAATGCCAAAATTAAAAATTAAATAGGACTAAACATAAAGTTAAAAATCCCAGAGCATAGTATAAAAAGGGACTAATGAGACAACATTTAAAAATATATCCTGGAAAAGAAAAGAAAAATGAAGGCCCAGTGGGTGAGTCCAGCACTGACCTGATCAATCAGGAGGGAGGAACGAATACAGGTGTGGATCAGAGACATTTCCAGTTGGGATGTACGTGGCTTTGGATTTAAAAGACCCACCGAGCATCCAGCCAATAAAGGAGAAAAGACCCAAATAGAGCTACACCCCTATAAAGACATTTGCAGAGAGAAACTATCAAACCGCTAATAGGCAAAAGATTGTCACCTACGAAGGAAGAGAATCCAATCTACTTGCAACCTCGTCCCAGCAATGCAGATGCCAGAGGAGGCACCATCCAGCCTCCTGGAAATGACTCTGGCCTGCATGCCAGCCTGCACACCAGCAGCCAGCAGGAAGGCAGAAGGTTCCAGGTGAGCAAGGATTCAGAAAGCCCTTTCTTAGCAAGTGTTTTAAGGATATTGTCACGTCGGCAAACCACGGCTCACGAGCCACATGCAGCTCTTTGGCCCCTTGAGTGTGGCTCTTCCACAAAATCCCACCCACGTGCAGGTGTGCACGTTCAGTGTGACTGAAACTTTATGGGCCATGCGCAGAAGTTGGTTTTTGGCTCTCAAAAGCAATTTCAATTGTTGTACTGTTGATATTTGGCTCTGTTGACTAATGAGTTTGCCGACTACTGGTCCAGAAAAATAAAGGAAATTAAGACAGAAGATGACATAGGTTAGGAACATGAGATGAAGAGATACTGCCCACACTTGATAGAAGGCCATACAGACACATAAGTATATTTTCATAGTTACAACTGTCACTCAATTAAGTTATTTTAAAAATGGCAAATTGAGAAGCAGGTGCAAAGGCTCCAGGAGGGGATCCTTGGGAGAAAGGATCATCTTCGGAAAGAATGTGTGATTGAGAAGCCAGGAGAAGGCTCGCTGTGCTGGTGGAGAAATGAGAACAGCAACAAGAAGCTCCCAGGAAAACAGAAAGCGGCTGGGAAGCCAGGGCAGCACACGGAGCAGCTGTGATAGGGCACGTGGTTGGCATCGGAGCCGACGAGCTGTTAGCATTGGTGCCATGGGACTGTGACGCTGGCGTGTGCTCCTCACACAGAAATCCCTCTGGGATCAAGTACACCAGGCGAGAAGATGGGATTCCACCAGACAACCCGACTCAACCCTGAGCAATGCGATGTAGACATAAGAATCTAAACCTTTCATGGTAGTTATCTCCTTAAAGCCAACTGATAAAAGGCATAGGAGCTTGGTAGTGGATTCAAGAAAGGACATAAATATTAATGACAGGCGTGGTGGATGACAGTATGAATGTGAAAGGGGAGAGAGGAGGTGGGGGGTGGGGAGAGGTACCAAGTCCATATTTTACAGTGTTGAAGAGATAATGTCTATATTTGAAAGAAGGCCATACAGACATATAAGTATATTTTTATAGTTACAATGGTCACTAAATTAAATTATTTAAAAAATAGTGAATCAAAATCATTAGGAAGAGAGTGAGGTCAAGCAGAGTGAGCTAAACCTCGTCTTTCACATGGTGAGGCCAGCAGATAGTGTCTCTAATGGCAAAACCAGAAAATTAGACATAAGTAACTATCTGGTTATGGGGTAAACATCAGCAAAACCCAAACCACAAGATGGCAAGAAGAGGGCGGATGTCCCTGATATTTATATATATATAAAGAGAGAGAGAGAGAGAGAGAGAGAGAGAGAGAGAGAGATATCAATGTGAGACACAGTAACTAGTTGCCTCCCGCACACACCTGGGTGGAAGATCAAAACCTGCAACCCAGGTCAGTGCCCTTGACCTTGAACGGAACCCGAGACCCTCCAGTCACCGCTGACACTCTAACCACTGAGCACCCCGGCCAGGGGTCTTCTAAAAGAGCTTATCTTTCTTTCCCTTCTTTCCAGCAACACGGCTACCCAAGATGTCTCTGCGGTAGAGTGGATACAGGTCTATAGGATCTACCCGCTTATGTCTTATCGATACAACCGCACGTGACTCTACCTACGTGTCTCAGAATAAGCTGAATTAATGTCACGGTGGCAGCTGCCTGGACTCACCTACTCTGAATACCTGCTGGCAGCTCCTGTGTGCAGGCCTGCCGTGCGGGAGGCAGGGAGGAGGCAGACACTCCCTGACCGCCCACGGAAGCCCGCTTCCCCACACTTTCCTCTGCCTGGTTGCTTGGAATTCGTTATTAAATCCGTGCTCATTATTTGATGGTGATTAGAAAGTACTCACTTACTAATCCATTGCTAACCAGGTCTGATTAGGTGTCTGTGTTACTTCACAAGAGTCACAGTGTTTGTGAACAGCAAACCTTGTCCCGCACGGTAACTGGGTGATCCCCTTTTCTCTCCACCCGCGGGGTTAAATGCTCAGCTCAGCACGCTGGCAGGTCTAACTCCGTCTCCTCTGCCCCCTGCCAGGTGGGAGAGCGTCCACTGGGAAGCTGCGCCACAGGCCGCGGGCTGAGCCGGCGGATGTCCCTGAGGAGTCACAGATCCTGGCGGATGCTCCCCGAGGAAGGCCCTTCCCGGACCCTCCCGCGGCCCCGGAGAGCCACGACGCCCCGGAGAGCCAGGGCCGCGGGGGATGCAGGCGCTGAGGGGCGCCCCGCCGGCGGTCCTGCCTAGACTGGCAGCTTCCCTCCAGGATGTCCTGCAACCGCTCGTCCGCGGAGCCCTTTGAGCACCTGCTGCCCAACGGCAGCCACGCGTGGGCGGCGGCGGCGGCGGCGCCCCTCCGCGGCTGCCTGGCGGGCGTCCTGGTGCTGATGATCGCCGTGGGCTTCCTGGGCAACTCGGTGGTCTGCGTCATCGTGTACCAGCGGCCGGCCATGCGCTCCGCCATCAACCTGCTGCTGGCCACGCTGGCCTTCTCCGACATCATGCTGTCGCTGTGCTGCATGCCCTTCGCGGCCGCCACGCTGGTCACCGTGCGCTGGCGCTTCGGCGACTCCTTCTGCCGCCTGTCGGCGGCGCTCTACTGGCTCTTCGTGCTGGAGGGCGTGGCGGCGCTGCTCATCATCAGCGTGGACCGCTTCCTGCTCATCGCGCAGCGCCAGGACCGCCTCACGCCGCGCCGCGCCAAGGCCGTCATCGCCGCGTCCTGGGCGCTGTCCCTGTGCGTGTCGGCGCCCGCGCTGGCCGGCCGGCCGCCCGTGGAGGTGCCGGCGCGCGCGCCGCAGTGCGTGCTGGGCTACACCGAGCTGCCCGCCGGCCGCGCCTACGCCGTCACGCTGGTGGTGGCCGCCTTCTTCGCGCCCTGCGGCGTCATGCTGGCCGCCTACCTGGGCATCCTGCGCGCCGTGCGCCGCAACGCCGTCCGCGTGCGCAACCAGTCCGACAGCCTGGACCTGCGGCAGCTCGCCCGGGCGCGGGCCGGCCTGCGGCGCCGGCAGCAGCAGGTCAGCCTGGACCTGAGCTTCAAGACCAAGGCCTTCACCACCATCCTCATCCTCTTCGTGGGCTTCTCCCTGTGCTGGCTGCCGCACGCCGTCTACAGCCTCCTGTCCGTGTTCAGCCGGCGCTTCTACTGCAGCCCGTCCTTCTACACCACCAGCTCCTGCGTGCTGTGGCTCGGCTACCTCAAGTCTGTCTTCAACCCCATCGTCTACTGCTGGAGGATCAAGAAGTTCCGCGAGGCCTGCATCGAGCTGCTGCCCCAGACCTTCCAAATCCTCCCCCGGGTGCCCGAGCGGGTCCGAAGGCGCGTCCAGCCCAGCACCGTCTACACGTGCAGCGAAAGCCAGTCGGCTGTCTAGCCAGAGGCGGTGGGTGGAGGGGCACAGGGCCTGGGGCCTGGGCCCGCTGTCCTGCTCTGCCTCCTGGCCCTGAGCCCCAGAGGCATGCCGTGGCGGCCAGTGAAGCACAAAGGTGCTCATCTGTGACAAGCAGCTGGGCGAATGGTTTCCGTGTTTTGCTGCAGGAGAGCACGGGTGGATCTGATGGAGGCTTTAGGAGGAAGGTGCCTGGAACTGGAGGGGAGCAGGGAGCGGGCAGACAGTCAGGGAAGAGGAGGGAGCAGGGCTGGGCGGGTGAGTGTGTGCAGGAAGAAGGCTCTGCTTAGGAGAAAGCCTGTGGTTTCCTTACATTGATCACATGAGTGTTCCCACCAGGCCACATCGTCCTTTCCGTAAACCAAGATCACGCTGGCAGCAGAGGGGCCAGTGCCTCAGCTCCCGGGAGGGCAGGTGGGAGGCTGGGGGCAGCTCAGCGGAGAGGAGGAGCCCACACCCAGGGCCCTCCATCCTCCTGTCTGCCAGGACCATCCCTCTGCCCCTCTTCCTCTCTCTGCTTCTCCTGCCTCCCTTTGTTCTCACTCCGTCCTCGCCAGGGGGCAGAAGAGGCACAGTCCTTCTCTCGTAGTTCACCTTTTGGGCAAGTCCTGGAAGCGACTTGCTTCCTATCTCCGAAGTGGTCCTGGGCTTGTTTACACGTTTCCTCCGAACACGCTGAGGCTGCAGCCTCAGAGCTGCCGCATGGACTTCTGCGCTGGGCCTGCGGGCAGGGGCCGGACAGACCGGACAGACACGGCCTGCTGCAAGTCCCCGCGGACTTCTGTGCTCCTCCTACCTCATCCTGCGCCGTCCTCGGGGCCCCCGCCTGTCCGGGGCCGTGGTCCTCTCAGCCCAGGCAGGACTGGGCCCCCGGAGTGAGGCTGCCGACGGGAGCTTGGCTGCTTGCGCTGTGCTCTTGCCTCCCGGCCAAGGTCACCTATTACTCCAGAGCTTCTGACATGGGGTAGGTTTTCCTGAATTTGAGGCACACCACTAAGTTCATACAGTTCTTTTTACAGTTTCCAATCTGAAGAGAGTGGGAAATTTAGGGAGAAATTCAGAAAATCTGAACCCAAGTCTAACTCTAACAGGAGCTAGTGTGTGAGCTTGTTCACGTCACCCGACTTCTGTGGGCCCGTTTCCCCAGCGAAGAAGCAAGTCTACATGACCTCCCACGTCCCTGTCAGCTCTCAAACACTCGGATCCTAAAAGGGTATCTTGTCTGCTCGTAGTTACAGTTCCTACATTTGTTTATTTCCCACACCATGAGCCTTTATTTATTAAGTGCCTGCTAGACGCAAGGCACTGTGGGAGAAAGAGGGATGGATAAGGTCTGGGCTATACCCAAAGGCAGTTGTCCAATTTATCTCAAGATCATTGTAACTCAAGCCTGGCCGGCATGGCTCAGTGGCTGAGCATCAACCTATGAACCAGGAGGTCATGGTTTGATTCCCTGTCAGGGCACATGCCTGGGCTGTGGGCTCCATCCCCAGTGGGGAATGTGCAGGAGGCAGCTGATCAATGATTCTCTCATCATTGATGTTTCTCTCTCCATCTCACTTCTTCTCAGAAATAAATAAAAATGTATTTCTAAAAACATTATTTAATTCAAATTCGGCCTAACGCAGATGCTCCCTTCTCATTGCTCGGTTCCTTGTCCCGGTTGTAGGAAGAGGCCAGCTCCCCGTCTCGCATTCACTTCCTGTGGTGCTGGTGACAGGCAGGGAAGGGCGGGATCAAAGAAAACATAATTTCTGGTATCCAAGCCCAGAGCAGGATTGCTGTGAAAGTGACTGGTATTTTTTCTCGCTCACTTTACCCAGGTGCAGAGAGGAAGAAGATGGGCAGGTGGTTGTGATGGAGATGGCCTGTCAGTTCGTGTCCCAGTGCTCCCAGCAGGGGCAGGGTTTGCCTTTGGCTCCCATCCAGTTCAGCCTTAGTAGGCCCAGAGCACAGCCAGCCCCCAGGGCCAGGCCAGTGGCCCCTCCCCCTGTGGGCGTTTAAGAAAATGCTTCCCCAGAGCCTTGAGTAAAGAGAAATCACAAAACTGAATGAATGAATGAATGCAGGTACCAAAATTTACACCCGTCAGTGTTATAGGATGTATGTTGAAAAGTAATGTTTCAAACTAATAATTTTGTACATATTTTTAAATAAAGTGTTATTGCTCTTTCTGTGTATAAGACTATGCTCTTGCCATAATTAGCACGGAGGCCACGAACAGTAAGCCAACCACCTGGAGTCCGGCGCCCCCTAAGACATAGCAGCCTCAGGAAACGCAGAGCCGGCAGTGACTCCAGCTGGACTGGCTGACGGACACTGAGGGCAGATGAAAACCAGGAGACGGTGTGAGCCGTGGCCTCAGTGGTGGTGATCGCTTTAAATCACGGCCCTGCTGAGTACCCTGTGGTCTTCACCTCCGCCTCCAGAAGCCTCTCCCTCTCGAACCTCTACCTCCTCCCCTGAGCCCTGCGGAAGGCCCAGGCCGTGCCCAAAGCAGCTGTCCGAGCTGGTCTCCTGTGAGGAGAACAGCCACGGCTCTTTCAGTCTCTGTTTCTGTCTCTTCTTTAGCCCTAGAGTCACCCAAATCCGGTGCCTGAAAAGGAGGTGACGACGGCAGTGACTCCCCAGGGGCAGCCCCCGGTTCCGTGGGAGAAAACCGAGGCACACGTCTCAGAGGCGTCATCCCGATTCCAAGTCCCCTGGGAAATGCACTGCCTTTTCATCTTGGATCTTGCTCCCTCCTGTCGGGGTGAAATAAAAGCAAAGGTTACCCAGGGCATCCTGCCAACCCAGATAAGTGACGAAAATCTAGATCAATTCCTACTTGGCTGTTCTGAGACCTGGGTGTGCTTTCCCCTTGTGTGACTTCCAGCGCACTTTTTGGGCTAAAAGCCTGCTGGTTAAGTCTTTTTTTTTTTTTTTTTTTTTTTTTTAATATATTTTATTGATTTTTAACAGAGAGAAAGGGAGAGAGATAGAGAGCTAGAAACGTCGATGAGAGAGAAACATCGACCAGCTGCCTCTTGCACACCCCCTACCGGGGATGTGCCTGCAACCAAGGTACATGCCCTTGACCGGAATCGAACCTGGGATCTTTCAGTCCGCAGACCGACGCTCTCCCACTGAGCCAAACCGGCTTCGGCTGGTTAAGTCTTTACAATGTTGCTCTGCCCCCTTGCTCACACAGTCAGCAGCCCCACCTCCCAGGGCCCCCAAAGTCTCTGAGTGCCAGCACCCCGGCTTTGCTCCTAGGAAATGCACAGGAGGTGGGGGGTGGGCCGTGGAGCCAAAAGGCACACCCTCCCCAAACCCAGGGCCACCTTGCTCTCTGCGTGATTCCGGGCAAGTGACTTGGTGTCCCAGCTTTCTCCGCTCCTGCGCGGTGTAGACACGCCCGCCCACGGGGTCCGTGAGGGGAAATGAATGGTGCCCAGGAAGGGTCCGGTCCCGCGGGCCATGGCAGCGGCTGCACACACGGCGGCAGGAATGACTACAGCTGTACTGCCCACTTGCTCTAAGGCCAACCTTTGTACTCAGGGCAAGGGCAGTGATTTGTTTCAGAACTGGCTGCTGGTTTCTTTTCTCAGGTGGCCCTAAAGTTCGGGGTTCTGTGGATAACACAACATCCACAGAAGCCAGGAGCACAGGTTTGGCTTTAAAGAGCGGAATTCCCGATGGCTGGGCTGCAGCACCGGGCGGCGTCCGAACTGTCCCCGGGCTGCGAGCTGCCTCATGGCGCCGGAGAAGGACAGAGCCCAGGAGCCCTCTCCGGGCACATCCTGGGGCACGCTGCTCGGAGGGGCTCCTCGTGCAGAGCTGAGCAGGGTTGTGGGCGTGCAGGGAAGCGGGAGGGAGGCAGGAGCGTGACAAGGGGGAGGGTGGGCAGCTTTAACAGGCGCCCAGCTGGAAGTGCCTGTGAAGAATAACCCTGTGTCCCTCACTGAAGTCCAGGGCAGTGGGCGGGTTCGCCGGGAGGCGGTTCGGGACTCCCTCCTCCCGTCCAGGTTCCCGCTGGCCCCTGAGGAGAGGAAAAGGTGTGGGAAAGCAGGGAGGTAAGACACCCACAGAACCCTGGGCTTCCGTGTCAAGACTGAGTCACATGACCACACAGCTGCACAAGAGGCTGGGAGGGGAGCCTACACTCTGGAGCAGTGGTCCTCAGCCTTCCTAACGCTGCGACCCTGTAATCCAGCTCCTCATGCTGTGGTGACCCCAACCACAAAATTATTTTCCTTGCTACTTCATAACTGTAATTTTGCTACTGTTATGAATCGTAATGTAAATATCTGTGTTTTCCGATAGTCTTAGGCTCTACAGCATAATTTTATGGTTGGGTCACAACATGAGGAACTGTATTAAAAGGTTGCGGAATTAGGAAGGTTGAGAGAACCACTGCTCTAAAATGTGTGCCAGCTGTGACTTTCTTAGCCTGAAGGAGAGGAGAAGGATTTGGTGTGTTCCCAGCAGCCTCTGCCAAGACATGCACAATTTTGAAAAACAAGGGATCGTAGCACCTACACAACTTCTCACACCTGAAATAGAAATCGCATCACTGGCCCTTTCCTTGTTGTAACGTAAGCACATCTCTGTCACAGCCACCCGGAAGGCTGCCTCTCTCTCCACCCCCCACCCCCCCATACAGGGGCCCGCTCCCGGACAAGAGTCTGCAAACACTTACACCTGTGCCAAGGAAGAGAGGAGCCACAGGCAACCTTTTACACACAGATGGGACAGGAGGGCTAACCTGAAAATTTGCAGCTGCAAAAAGATAAAGTTGCCAAATAAGAAGAAAAAAAATACTATTTAAAACAAAATCAACAGTGAATGAAAGTTCAATTCGTTGGTGCATGGGCAGGCAAAATAGCAATTTTAGACAGTGAATAAGGAAAAATGGAATTTATTTAAAGAAAAGGAGTTGGAGGATGGGAATATCCAAAGGGAAGGGCTGCAGGGCACCGAGCCAAAGGGAACTGGATGGATGATGGCAGCCCTGTGGAGCTCAAATCCTGCCTCATAAGCAGTCAGTGGCAGGAAGCTTTTGTCATCAGTGGGTTTGGGGGGCGTGGGTGGCCTTGGGCAGTAGGTTGGGTCAACCGGGTGCTTTTGGCAGTTTAGCTCCGTAAGTGGTTTGATTCCTGGTGTCTGGCATTTCTGGTGCGACAAGCCTTCCTATGTTTGTCCTCCTGAGGCGGGGAAGCTTACAAATGGCTGTAATTCTAGTGACTTGTAAGTCCTGACAGTGATTGAGACCACCTTTGCCTGAGAATTTGTTTGTTAAAGGAAAAAGTTCAGAGCTTTGCCTATTAAAAGGTGGAGACTGGTCGCCAGTGACAAGAAAGACCTCACAGTGTGGAAGGGGCACAGGCCACGCCCTGGTGATTACATTATTCAAGGAAAGTCAGGGCTTCCCATCCTATCTGGATCCCTAAGAATAGAAGGGTGCTGAGCACAAGCATGGTGTGTGTGTGTGTGTGTGTGTGTGTGTGTGCGCACACGCGCGCGCGCGCAAACGGGATGGCTGAGAAGTCAACACCAATGGAATCCGAAAGGGAAAAACTAGTATTTCAAGTGAGCGAACAGAAAGTGTTCTCCGGGGAAAGAGGGCTATCATGGTGAGGGACCGTGGGAGCCCTGAGGAAAGGCAAAGGGATTTGTGCAGCCAAGACTGGACACTGCCGGCAGAGCGATGTCTGAGAGCCAGCCATGGAAAAGGGCTCTACAGACCACCTCCTCCCGCAGCAGGAGGCGGCAGCCACAGAGGCACTTTCCTAGTCTCTGCAACACAGCGTGACTCCGGGGGTTGGGACTCAGAGCTCAGACAGCCATGGGGACCCTGCAGCCCAGGTCCTAGCTGGATGCTGCCCTGAGACCCAAGAACTGGCCACCCCCACTGCTCTGGCCTGACTAATTCGAAGGGTCCTCAGATACCACCTGCTCTACCTGTCTGCGATGGCACCAGAATACAGACGGTGTGACTTGCCCAGGACCACAGTTGGCTGGTGGAGTGAGACCCAGGTTTCCTGACACCTCATGATAGCATGTATTTCTCAAATCACCCCTGGCCTGCTGGGCGTGTGCTGCTTTGTAATCCCTTCTTGCCGTCTCGTTTAGCTAATCGACCACTCTGGAGAGCAGACTGGATTAGCGGTGTGCCCCCAGCTGCCAGCAAAGAAAAGCAGGCCTCATTAATTCCGTCTCTGAGCGCGGCATTAACACACTGGTAGACAGTGCTCTCGCCGCTGAGCTTTCTGAGATGGTAAAAGGGCCTCTCGTCCATATGGGCTAGATTCCTGCACGTTTTCATTTCAATTGTAAGCTTGACAGATCTGCTAAGAGCAGATGGGGTGTTAGTTAGCTTCTAATTACTCCTATCACAGCCACGGCCGTTTAACGGAGCTGGCGCTTCTCTCCGTCCATCAGTTCACTATTCTTCTCACTCAGTCACCGGGACAGGCAGTGAGTCCACACCCTGCCCAGTCTGGTCAGGGGTGTAAGCCCATGCACCACCTCTTCACCCTAGCATGCGAATGAGCCCTCAATACCAATGACATGGAAATGCAAAAAGAACAGCCATATTTTGCCCCAGGGTTTTCTGCAGGAACAGTCAGCCCGGGTTGGTTCCTGGGTTTTGCTTCTGTTCATGGTTGGTGAAGCAGCAGGCAGGGACCTGCGGTTTGGCAGAGCTCCGGCTTGATGTGCCTCAGCCATAGGACAACCACCCAACACCCTGCCTCAGTTTCTTCAACTTGAAATAAGAATGACTCGTGCACCTCCCCCTACCAGCCGGGTGGCATGCAGCACAGAACAGTCAGCCTATGTCAGCTCACCCTGTGCTCAGGGCGGGGCCAGGCCTGGGTGAGAGAAAGAGCCCAGGACAGAGGTGGGCAGGGACAGGCCTGGGTGAGAGAATGCCCAGTCACTGCATAGAACATCCCAGACCTGCTATGAACAGGGTTCTAAGAGGGAAATTAACTCTTACAAGGTGAAATTTTTTAAAGGTTCTATTCCTTGAATACACTGAGGATTAACAATGTAAGGGCAGCAGGCTTACTTAGAGTGTTTAGCTAAAAGGTAAAGTATGTCAGAAGTAACCAGCAACCTCCATTGACTCCTCAGGGTACCATGTACCTGAAGGGGCAGTCAAGGAGCAGCATGAGAGCGTGCAGGAGAGAAATGAGAATGGACCATTTAAAATGTGGTAAAATGGAGAGAAACCAAGATGGCAGCATAGGGGAGACACCTGAATGCAGTCTACCACAACAAATTTGAATTTAGAACTGGAAAACAGGGGAAACATCGCCCTGAAGCACTGGACGGCTGGCTGTGAGGAAGCTCTACCATCTCGGAAGGAGAGAGAAGGCGCGCTGAACCTCAGGAACTGTGAAGGTGCGGTGAACTGCGTGCACGAAAAGGTGGCCGCCTGACTTTGCTGCTGGCTTGCTTGCAGAGCACAGAGAGGGCGGGCCGGGCTGAGTTCGCTACTGGCTTACTCGCTGAAAAGAGAGGGCGGACAGCTAATGCGCGGCTGGCTTTCTTGTTCAGGAGGAAAACAGAACCACCCTATTGCCCTGATAGATGGCCCCAGAAAGGGAGAGGCCAGACTGTCAGGCAGTGGGCAGAGATCTCTCGGAGGTATGTGAAGCCAGCAGCCATTACTGCGGGACTCAGAAATCAGAACCTCGTAGGGAGGGGCTGAATAAAGCTTGTCTGCACCACCCCGAGACTCCGCCCCATCCAAGTGGAGCACAGAAGCCCTTCCAGTGGCTAGCTTTCTCATTTGCCACGAATAGGACTCTTCTAGGGAGGGGCAGACAGAAATCCAAAGCTTGTCTGCGCCTATATCAAAGAGGTGCACACGCCTGCAACCAATCTTGCAGGATTCACCAAAGCTTGGCTGTGCGACCCCGAGACTCTGTCCCATCCAAGCGGAATACAGAAACCCTCCTAGCTGAGACACTTCTGATCTTCATAGCCAATTGGCTTGGAGATCAACGCTTCCCAGTGATACCAACAACAAGCAAGGCTTAACAGCAAGACTGCACACACAGCCCACAAAGGGCTACACCAAGACTATCCACCTCAGGTAACTGGGAGGCTGACCCGCTGAACCATATAGGACACCTTAGCACACAAAGCCACCCTACCAACTCAGGGAAGCTGTGAAAATGCCGAGACAAGCCAAAACTGGTTTGGCTCAGTGGATAGAGCGTCAGTCTGTGGACTGAAAGGTCCCAGGTTCGATTCTGGTTAAGGGCATGTACATTGGTTGCAGGCACATTCCCGGTGGGGGGTGTGCAGGAGGCAGCTGGTCAATGTCTCTCTCTCATTGATGTTTCTAATTCTCTATCCCTCTCCCTTCCTCTCTGTGAAAAATCAATAAAATATATTTTTTTAAAAAAGAAAAGAAAATGCCAAGACAAGGAAACAGATCACAAACTAAAGAAATGGAGGACAAAAAGCAACTGGATATAGAGTTCAAAACCACGCTTATAAGGTTTTTCAAGAATTTCCTAGAAAAGGCCGATAAAATAAACGAGACCTATGAGGATATGAAAAAGGATCAACTAGAAATAAAGAATACATTGTCTGAAATAAAACATATACAGAGTCCTAAAAACAGAATGGAAGATTGCAAAAATCAAGTCAAAGATTTGGAACATAAAGAGCCAGAAGACACTCGTCCGCAGAAGCAAGAAGGCAAGAGAATCCAGAAAATTGAAGATGATGTAAGATACCTCTGGGACAACTACAAGCGAACCAACATCAGAATTATGGGGGTCCCAGAAGAAGAGAGAGGGCAAGATACTGAAAGAATACTGGAAGAAATAGTGACAGAAAACTTCCCCCACCTGGGGAAAGAAATAGACTTATAAGTCCAGGAAGTGCACAGAACCCCAAACAAAAGGAATCCAAAGAGGACCACACCAAGATACATCATAATTAAAATTCCAAGAGCAAAAGACAAAGAGAGAATATTAAAAGCAGCAAGAGAAAAGCAGGTAGTTACCTATAAAGGAGCACCTATACGATTGTCAGCTGATTACTCAACAGAAACCATCCAGGCCAGATGGGAATGGCAAGAAATATTCAAAATGAAGAACAACAAGAACCTACAACCAAGATTACTCTACCCAGCAAAGCTATCATTCAGAATTGAAGGTCAGATAAAGAGCTTCACAAACAAGAAAAAGTTAAAGGAGTTCATCAACACCAAACCAGGATTACATGAAATGTTGAAGGGTATTCTTTAAGAAGAGGAATAAGAAGAAAAAGGTAAAGGTAAAAAATTAGGAACAACAAAAAGACATCAAATACATACCTACCAACAAGTTAATCTAAAAATCAAGTGAATAAAAAATCTGAAGAACAAAATAGACTGGTGAATACAATAGAATTAGGGATACAGAAAGGAAGTGGACTAACAATTCTCAGGGGGAGGGGGGGTCTGAGGGGTGCAGGAAGAAATTGTACAAAAATCTTACACCTATGAAGACAGTGGTGTAAGGGCATGGGTTAGGGTTGGGAATTAGGTGGAGGGGAGCTATTGGGGGTGGGGGGGAGGAACACCTGTTATAATTTGAACAATAAAGATTTATTATAATATATATATATATATATATATATATTTAAAAAATATAAATAATAAAAATAATTATTGTATAAACAAAACAAAACAAACAAACAAACAAAAAAACCACGGATGGCCATGGAAACCTGCCAGTGCCGGGAGGAACCCGGTCATGAGCTCTGGAACTCCGCAGGCATCACTGGGCGAGTGGACACCCTCCATTTATCAAGTGAATTTTATTAAAAAAAAAAAAAAAAAAAAAAAAAGCAAAAACTACAGAAAGGACAAAGAATTAAAAGAATTTTAATAAAATCAAGTTTACATTTGTACATCTTGTGTATTTGGGACCCAACCAGGGGCAAAGGATAGAGTTTCACGGACATCGGTTTCCATAGGAGAGCAAGCAAAAAGCAAGGGCTACCCCGGCTGTGTGACAGGCTTCGCTCCACAGCGATCGAGGCCCTCCCCACAGCGGACCTGGGCAGAGCCAGGCCCGCCCACAGCCTCACTCCCCGTTAGTGCTCGATGGGCAGCAGCAGATCCACAGGCCATCAAACGAGACAGTCTTGCCCACAGAACATAAGTGACAGCTGGTTCGGTGCCTGCTGTTCTAACTAAAATGGTCACACAGAGCCTGGAGGGGAAGGCTGAGCGGTGCTTCGGACTGCTCTCTCCCACAGCACACTCACGAGCAGCAGGCCTGTGGGACGAACACGTATTTCTTTTCAAAATGTGATTTGAGAAAAGAGCCTTGTGGGAGTTGGAGGAAGATTAGAGAAGGGTTTTGAACACAGGAGACAATTCTGCAGTGTCAGAGAGTCCTGCCTGTCTTCAAGGGTTTGGGAGAGCTGGAAAACTGTTTGACTGCAACTCCCATTATTCTAAAGGAAAACAAACATTTCAAAGTATAGACCAATGTTCAGAGAAAAAAGAGACTGACCAGGGGCCCCAAGTTAGAAATGAGCAATCACAAGACTTTTTCAAGGTTGTACCCATTCTGAGTAGAGAACAGTGCTTTGCAAAGTGCATATTGCATGGACTAGTCGCCCGTTCTTCGAGGAGCAGATCGGAGCACACAGTTGGGCGGTGATATGCACAGTAACATGGTGATCTGCACACCACCCGCAGGTTACGCCGGCCAGGCTGTGTCCCCCCAGCAGCAGCACGGGGCTGCGCGCAGGCAGAATGCCTTCCTTCTCTGCTGGGCTCACGGAGACCTAGTTAGGAAAGCAGGCGTGGCCGCCGTTGCCTTCTCGGCCCAGTCGGAACCACAAAGGAAAAGGAAGGCTGACGATTCGCAGTGCAGAAGGTCTTTAAAGACCGGAGTGGGCTCTTCACCCCCCTCCGTAAGGCTCAGGCGTGGGAGGGCGTGCTCCAGGGCGCTCCCCTCAGACGCTGATGCTTGCTTGCAAGCCTGGCATCGGGGTACAGTGTCTTCATTTTCCATCCCTAACAGACTCAGCCACCAAAACGAAGCCATCCGAGGGCAGAGCGGAACCACAGACCCATCGCAGTCTGGGACCACGGGCCCTGGTTTCCCTGTGGCCAGGAACCCAGGGCGGCATGTGTGGTGCTGGAGGGGAGGCGGCGGCCGGCCTCCCTCGCTGGCATCACCTCGGGAAAGGCGACCACCTCACGTGTGAGCAGCAGCGCCAGCCCCGCCCCCCGGCTGCGTGCGGGAGCGGCCTCGCCCGGGAACACAGCGGGTTGTGCTCATTGTTTCCCTTTTAATTTCCCCAGTGTTCACAGGAGGTACATGTCAATGAGAAACATCCCTACCAAATATGACAGATGATTTTCTAAATAAGAGGAATATTACAAAGATAATATAACTTCAAATAAAATGCTTAGTCAAGCACACTGACCGTGGAGTTTGAGACCAGCAGGCGCGTGGGCCCTGCAGTGAGGGGCACACGCATGGGCCCTGTCCCCACGGCTCCCTGTCTCGGCCGCCGTCCCCCGGGCAGGCAGCCTCTCCCTCGGCCTTCATCAGTCTCGTCGTGGTGTTCACTTGCCAGAAGCCAGGAGCACACTGTTCACCCGAAGGGACGCTCTCAGGGTGGGGGCCGGATGGGAAACAGGAGGGAACGGACACCCCTCCCAGGCCAGCCAACGCCAAGGCGGGCGGAGCCCCGGGGTCACGGGAAGCAGCCGCGGTGCCGTGGATGGAGCACGCACCACCCGGGGGAAAGTCCGCACAGGACTCTGCCCCGGCACTCGCCGGGCTGAGCAGTCACCCGCGTGCCACCCTGAGGAGACGCCCGGGCCAGCGTGCGCCCGAGGCGGGCGTGGGCGCCGGCCCCGGATGCGGGCGGGCTCTCCGCTCGGGCTTCCTGGGCACTCGTGCCGCTGGTCAGCAGGAAGCGTCCTCGTCTCACACGGACCGAGTCTGCCGGCCCCGAGGTGTCCCTGCCTGGCTGGCCCGGCGCCGCCGCTCTCTGCTCCTTGCATCGGTGTGAGGAGAGCTCGGGGTCCCCCTGGCGCCCAGGTGGTCCCTTCAAGTCCGAGCGCCGGGGCGGGGGGCGCTGGGGTTCGAGTGTCTGCTGGCGGCACAGTGGGTGTGGACGAGGTCGCCGGTCGGGTATCTGACAAACACGGGCTCGCAGAAGGGACGGCGGCACACCTGGCACAGCTGTCTGTCCGAGAGCCGGAACGAGCTCCGCTTCACCCTCACCTGCGAGACAGAGACGGGGGGTCACGGCGGCTGTGCGGCCTCAGACCCCTCCCCCGGGACCCGTCACCGAGGAGCAACTTCCGAGACAAAACAGCACACTGAAAATAAACCAACTCGGCCTCAGCGCCCGGAGGAGCACGGGGCCCGGAACCGCTCTCACTTCACAGACGTCACCGAGCTCGTCTGGCGAAGCGTTTCCACCGGGCGGCCCTCGGGCGCTCCGTGAGCTGGGGCGCCCCCGCGAGCCTGCTCCCCGCGGCCGAAGGCCGCACCACCCTCACCCCGGCCTCTCACCGACACACAGGCCGAGGAGGCGAGACAAGGCCCCTGGTCAAAGCCGCGGGGCTGCTTAGCGGCACAATCCTGACGGCCTGGGACACGTCTTCTTTCCTTCAGGGACTAAGGAGCCGTGCTGTGACTCCATCGCCGGTTAAGAGCCACAGTTCCCTGTTGTGGGGACTGAGCAGCAGCCTGGTGAGTTCTCCTTGGTCACACCAGTCATCCCACATTTATTCAACGCCCTCCGGACGCCTGGCTTCGCTCTAGGATAAGGCGACCAGACGTCCGGATTTTTAACAATTTGTCCCGTGTCCTGTGGCGTTTTAAAAAAGTCCCGATCTTTTTCCAAAACGGCCCGCCCCTGCCACACACAGCCCCTCCGAGTGTAACACACAGACTGCCGCTGCAGAGAAAACACCGACAGTGTCGTTCCCCGGGCAAACGCACGCACACCGAGAACCCACCTGGTCGTGCTGATAGATCAGGTTCTCGGCCGTGGCCAGGCCGAGCGCCACCTGCGCGGTCCTCCTGGCGTGGGTGCTGTCCCGCAGGGCGCCCGTCAGGAACGGGCCGAGCAGCTGCACCGACCAGGAGCCCGGCAGCAGCTGCAGCACCTGGGCGGCGTCGAACTCGGCGGCGTGGCGGTTCAGGAGGTCCACGGCGGCCACGGCCAGCTCCGCGGGGCCGGGGCCCAGGTACAGGGCCAGCAGCGTGTGGAAGAGCCGCCGCCGGAAGGCCGGCTCCCGGCCCGCGGCGCGCCAGGCGCAGTAGTCCTCGGCCGCGGAGAAGTCCCGCAGCTCCAGCGCCAGCGTGCGCAGCGCCTGCTCGTGCTCCTCCAGCTTCCCGTGCAGGATGGCCCTCTCCATGGGCAGGTCCGCGCCCCGCACCCGCTCTGTGGGCAGAACCACCGTCACACGGCGCCGGGCCCCTCCGCCCGTCCGGACCACGCGGGGAGCGTCCGTGCCCCTCCGCCCGTCCGGACCACGCGGGGAGCGTCCGTGCCCCTCCGCCCGCCCGGACCACGCGGGGAGCGTCCGTGCCCCTCCGCCCGTCCGGACCACGCGGGGAGCGTCCGTGCCCCTCCGCCCGCCCGGACCACGCGGGGAGCGTCCGTGCCCCTCCGCCCGTCCGGACCACGCGGGGAGCGTCCGTGCCCCTCCGCCCGCCCGGACCACGCGGGGAGCGTCCGTGCCCCTCCGCCCGCCCGGACCACGCGGGGAGCGTCCGTGCCCCTCCGCCCGCCCGGACCACGCGGGGAGCGTCCGTGCCCCTCCGCCCGCCCGGACCACGCGGGGAGCGTCCGTGCCCCTCCGCCCGCCCGGACCACGCGGGGAGCGTCCGTGCCCCTCCGCCCGCCCGGACCACGCGGGGAGCGTCCGTGCCCCTCCGCCCGCCCGGACCACGCGGGGAGCGTCCGTGCCCCTCCGCCCGCCCGGACCACGCGGGGAGCGTCCGTGCCCCTCCGCCCGCCCGGACCACGCGGGGAGCGTCCGTGCCCCTCCGCCCGCCCGGACCACGCGGGGAGCGTCCGTGCCCCTCCGCCCGCCCGGACCACGCGGGGAGCGTCCGTGCCCCTCCGCCCGCCCGGACCACGCGGGGAGCGTCCGTGCCCACACTGCGCACCCGTGGCCCTCACGCTAACGCCACGGCTGCCTCTCTCTAAGGACAGGCAGGTCGCAGAGCACAGCTTTGGCTCAGAGTTTAGAGAACGAAGGAAAGACAGGACCCTGGTCTCAGAGGCCCGGGACCTGCGTGCCAGCCCGGGGCCAACAGCCTTCATGCTCGACTCTTGCCCCCCTGGGTGGGCTTGGCAGGAACTACTACACCACGTGCCCCAGTGACCCCGGAGTCACCTGGCTCACAGGGGGCGGTCGGTCATCTGAGTGGCAGTGCTGTTCCAGGCTTTGGGACACCCACTTCTTGCCGGCTCCCAGGCTTGCCTCTGGTGGCTCCCGGCCCATCCACCCAAGGCCTGGCCTGCTGCTCCCTGGGCCCTCACCTGACCTTCGGTTACGAGGACAGGAATCCAGCCACACCACTCTCTATCCTCCCTGCATGTCTGACACTACGCATGCTCCAAAAAGGCGGCTGGATAAAAACACTCATCAACAAACGATGAGTGGCGTGAAGCTTTTATGAAGGGATCGGTACGGCATAAAGTAGGACATAAGGCAGGGGCAGTAGAAATGCTGAACAAGCACGACGGCACGGGCACGGACCAATCATAATGGCCGGTGGCTGTGGGCGACCGACCGGCCCAACACCAAGTGCGGGCTGGGGCTAGCGCTGGCCTCCACGCGGAACCCTGAGCCCATGCCTGCTGGGACGCCTGCTCTGAGCTTCACACTCCTCTGCTATCGAGGTCAGGAAACAAGCGTCACACTGCGTGCTGAGCGTGGTGACCTATGTCTGGGATACACACAGTCAGGCCTAGTGTCTGCAGATTCTCTGTGCCTCCTCACCAGCACGTATTTGTAACTCCAAAAGCAATGCTTCTGAGGCACCTGTGGCCTGGCCCAGCGCAGCCAATCAGGTGGGCCAGTGACAGGTGGAGCTCGGCCCTCCCCGGGCACAGGCTGTGCTGGTCACGGTCCCCTCAGGCCCCAGGGGAGCACTGCTGTGCCTCCTGGTGGTGTCAGCATCGAAGCGGCCCGAGCACAGTGCTGGACGCGTCTGCGCGGGAGCACAGGGCGGCCGGGGCCTCCCAGAAGCCTCGGGAGGCTGACTCGGAGCTCGGCTGCCGTGAGACAGCGTTCACAGGCCAGCTGTTACACAAGGGCCTTTAAGCAGAGAGGCTCACATGGAGCGGCCGAGGGAGAGCTAGGGACCAGATGCGCAGGGAGCTGGCCCGGCTCTCCCGAGCGCAGCGGGTCCTCACTGATTGTCTGTGAGACTACAGAGCATGGCCTGTGACGGTGAGCCCAGGCCGCAGGGAAGGGCCGCTGCCCGCTGGGCGGGAGGGCTGGCTTTGTGCCTTAAAGGCTGGAGGAAGCCCCACGGGACCACAGGAGCGAAGCCGCCGCCCCCGCCCCCGCCCCGCGGTCCTCATGGAGACCAGAGCTCTCCTCACCCATCAGGAAGTGCACTCGGTACAGGTCGGACTTCTGCAGCAGGCGGCGCAGCTTCGCCTGCGTCTCCGTCACCTCGCCGGCGCCGGGCGTCCGCTGCAGCACCGCGTCCAGGTAGAGCAGGGCCAGGCGCGTGTGGTACTCTTCCCTCTGCAGGACACGGCCAGCAGACGCGTGTTCGCGAGGGGGAGACGGGTGCCCGGCCGCAGCGCCGAGGGGGTCTGGCGGATTCGCAAGGACAGCCCACAGCACATTGGCTGGGCAAGAGCCTCTCAGAAACCACAACACAGAGAAGGTGAACTTAAAACCTACGGGGCCCTAGCCGGTTTGACTTGGTGGATAGAGCCTTGGCATGCAGACTGAAAGGTCCCAGGTTCGATTCCAGTCGGGGGCACATGCCCGGGTTGCAAGCTCAATCCCCATGGGGGGCGTGCAGGAGGCAGCCGATCAATGGTTCTCTCTCATCACTGATGTTTCTATCTCTCTCTCCCTTTCTGAAGTCAATAAAAACATAAGTAAATATAAAACTTACATATAAAAGGGCTACTTCTCATTTTGAGAAGGGCCACAGGATGTCAATATTCTCCAGAGAGGTGCAGCTTCTCCCATTTCCTTAAAGAAAGTTAACAGGAAGCACTAGAGAAAAGCACGAGCTGGTGGACATGCGATGAGGGCAAGAAGCCACTTATTCCTCCCGTCTCTCTCACAACCGCAGCTCCCCGCAGCCCACCAGCGGCACAGACAGCGTTCCACGAGGGCCATCGCCCGTCGTAGCGCTGAACCCGTTGCTTGGAGCGGGTGCCGCCCCTGCACACCTGGGCTCCTGGCGGGCTCACCTGCAGGTTCCTGTCCACCACCAGGTGCTCCAGGTAGCGGACGAGGGCGCTGGGGTATTTCTTAAGGCGGCTGAGCACGTGGTCTGGACTGAAGCTGTCCTGCTGCTCCTCCAAAGGCCTCTTGGTGAAAAGCTGGACTCCGACCTGAGGGGAGAGCGCGCCTGAGGGCCGGCTCTGCACAGGCCCCGCTCCCCGTGTCCCCGCCGTCCATGCTCGGCGGGAGCCACAGGCCGGGGGCCGTGTGCAGGGAGGGAGCTGGCAGACGGAGCCGAGGCTGCGGGCCCTGCCCCCCTCACAGCCTGGCGATTCCCTTTAAAGGGACAGAGTTTGAGAACGAAGCATTGATTGGAAACAGCCCACAGAGCGAAACCTTGTAAGGTTAAGATCATCCCCAAGCCAGGATGCTCACGGGCTGACCAGGAAGGGGACAGATCTGAAGGGCTGCCCGCCCAGCGCCCGCTCTCCTGACGCTGACACCGCCTGTGGCGGCCTCGTTTCCAGCTGCCACGGCCCGTGTCCGGGGCCCAGGGCTCAATGCCGTGCTCCGAGGACGTGCTGAGGGGCACGCAGGACGCAAACCCGCCTGCACCCGCCTGGGCACTGTGTGCACGCGAACACCACAAACCCATCAGCGGGACAGCGCAGCTGGCTCTGCCAACTCTAGTGCTCGGGGACGTTCAGAGCTCTCGGAGCCCGGCTCCCACCCTTAGGCGCCCGCTGGGGGCCGTCTCCTTGTTTAAAAGAGGTGCCACGTGTCGGGGACCGGTGCAGGGTCAGGGGCAGAGCACCCAGAGCCCGAGCGCCAGGACCGCCTCTCAGCTGCGGAGAGTCCCCGCTGCAACGGCCTGGGCTGTGAGCGGGCGTGAGCACGTGGTCCTGTGTGCCAGTGGCAGCGTGCAGATGGCATAAAACGTACACAGGGCCGACCCTCCAGCTGGGACAGCACAGGGAGCACATGGCCGACCCTCCAGCTGGGACAGCACAGGGAGCACATGGCCGACCCTCCAGCTGGGACAGCACAGGGAGCACATGGCCGACCCTCCAGCTGGGACAGCACAGGGAGGACATGGCCGACCCTCCAGCTGGGACAGCACAGGGAGCACATGGCCGACCCTCCAGCTGGGACAGCACAGGGAGGACATGGCCGACCCTCCAACTAGGACAGCACAGGGAGCACATGGCCGACCCTCCAGCTGGGACAGCACAGGGAGGACATGGCCGACCCTCCAACTAGGACAGCACAGGGAGCACATGGCTGACCCTCCAGCTGGGACAGCACAGGGAGCACATGGCTGACCCTCCAGCTGGGACAGCACAGGGAGCACATGGCCGACCCTCCAGCTGGGACAGCACAGGGAGCACATGGCTGACCCTCCAGCTGGGACAGCACAGAGAGTACATGGCCGACCCTCCAGCTGGGACAGCACAGGGAGCACATGGCCGACCCTCCAGCTGGGACAGCACAGGGAGCACATGGCCGACCCTCCAGCTGGGACAGCACAGGGAGCACATGGCCGACCCTCCAGCTGGGACAGCACAGGGAGGACATGGCTGACCCTCCAGCTGGGACAGCACAGGGAGCACAGGGCCGACCCTCCAGCTGGGACAGCACAGGGAGCACATGGCCGACCCTCCAGCTGGGACAGCACAGGGAGCACATGGCCGACTCCCACTGCAGAGGGCAGAAGTCCGCACGGGCGGCCAAGGCCCTGCGTCGGAAAGCTATGCTGTGTCCCCAGAGGAGCGTGGCCACGCAGACATTCTCAACGCAAGAACGAACTGCCATTGTTTTCCGGGCGTCGTTGGGTCTGTCCTCGGGGTTCCGCCTACCCCGAGCACGCTGTTCCCTCCGGGGCCAACAGGCGCTCTCACTGACATCCTCCTCGGCCTCCCAGATGGGCCAGGCCTGCTCACGCTGCCCTCCTTCCTCCAGACCCACGAGCCCCATCATGGCTGGGAGCAGACAGGGCAGCATCAGCCCGGCGTGGCCCAGGCCGGCTACCTGGCCTGCAGAGCAGCCATCGGATCCACAGACCACAGACCACACGGCCGCCAGCCTCAGGCAGGTGGGGTTTTCCAGAAGATGCCAAGAAGGGGACTGGCGATGCTGCCGCGGCTCTAAGGTGGCCCGCCCGGACAGGGTGCTGAACGGCGCGTCTCCAAAGCTCTGAGAGCCGGGACGCCAGGGGCTCAGGGCGTATGAAGGGGGAGCCAGGGAAGGGACACAGCTCAGCGCGTGGCTGGCCTACCCACCCACATCAAGGCGTTGTCTGCTTCTACCGCCCCCGCCCCACCCACCCCCGATGAGTCTCCGAAGCACAAACCTCCTCACTTTTCTGCAGGGCCCAGTCGGCGTGCTGCCACACCAGCGCGGGGTCCGGGCTGTGGGTGAGGAAGTCCACCACGTGGTCGTACAGGTCTGCGCGCGTGGGGTCGTCCAGCTCCCCGTTCACGATGCTCACCCACAGCTGCAGGGGCAACGAGAGGAGAAACAGGCTGACGTGCCGGCTGGAACCGGCTGAGAAGGCACACCCTCACTCACTCCGCCTTTCAATACTTAACAGCAGACAGACACGTTTAAAGTGCTTAAGTCAATTTAACTTTTTCTCAGAGAAATAAAGACGTGTAGAAGACATGGCGCAGGAAACCAGGAAAACCTGTCCTTTCCCCTCTTTAGCGACGTCGTGACACAGGTCACAGGCCCGTGGGGGAGAGGGGGTGTGCAGCATGTTTGTGCACAAAGCAACGCGGGGCTGACAGCTCAGCAGGGAAGCCACCACGCCGCTGGCAGGCCGCTCCACCTTCTCCACCGGAACCCCTCACTTAGTCCTTTTCCTCCTGCGGCGACACTGTCCTTCCAGACGCCCGCCTCTATCCCCTCACGTCCGACAGCCTTTGCACAAGCCTCGGCACAGACGAGGAAGGAAGGGTCTCTGCCGTTTCTTATAGAACTTCCTGCCGTAAAGGGAAGCTTATCTTCAAACTCAGTTGGAGCAGCAGAGGGCAGTGGGGAGGATGCTCGCCCGCTACTGCGCTGCCCGAGGGGCCAACATATTCCATGGCACCAGTTTCTTCAACACTGAATGCCCTAAACCAGTGGTCGGCAAACTGCAGCTTGTGAGCCACATGCGGCTCTTTGGCCCCTTGAGTGTGGCTCTTCCACAAAATACCACATGTGGAAGCACATCTACAGTTGGTTTTTGGCTCTCAAGAGCAATTTCAATTGTTGTGCTGTTGATATTTGGCTCTGTTGACTGAGTTTGCTGACCACTTCCCTAAACCAAATAATCTGATCACACACACTAAATGCGTCATTTTAAAAACATGGTGGATGTCTGTCATATAGTGAGATTTTTTTCATATTATTTCAATTTTGTAAATCTCTATATACTCTTGCTGATATTATTATTACAGGTATATCAAGCTATAATCCTTATGTAACTATGTAATGTAAAGATAAAAATTTATCTTTGACACTCAAATCTGCTCTCAGCATTGGGTGCCGCCGACAGGACTCCTTTCCCCTCTCAGCAGTTCTGCCACAGCAGTCTAAGCAAATGCCGTGTGCTTTGCCAGAGCCGCGGCGCTGCCTCCGGCTTGCTGGGGAGAGCTGGTGGCCATGGCTCTCACACGCACAGAGAAGGCCCATGAGGAGGGGGGCACAAAGCACCCCATGGGACTGCCGACTGCCGCCTCCGTGGGAAATGGTGTGGCGTTTCCTCAACAATTAAAGATGGGCTCCTATTGGACCCGGGACCCCACTCTGGGCCTATAGCCCAAGAAATCAGAAACGCCAATCAGAAAGGACATAGGCATCCCAATGTTCACAGCTGAGCAATTTACAGCAGCTAAGATTTGGAAACAGCCCACGTGCCCATCAGCAGATGCATGGATTAGAAAACCGTGTACATCTACACAATGAATACTACACTGCTGTAAAAAGGAAGAAATTCCTATCATTTGCAACAGCATGGATGGAGCTGGAGAGCATTATGCTAAGCAAAATAAGCCAGTCGGAAAAAGATACATAACACATGATCTCACTCATTTGTGGAATATAATAAACAACATAAACTGATGAACAAAAATAGATCCAGAGACATAGAAGCTTTTAACAGCCATCAAACCTCAGAGGGAAGGCAGCGGAGGGGGAGGTAAGAAATCAACCAAAGGACTTGTATCCGTGCACATAAGCAAACCAATGGACACAGATAATAGGGGGAAAGGCCGGGGCTGGGGGGTGGGAGTGGGCAGGGGCAGGCAGGAGAGGTCAATGGGGGAAAAGAGGCCATATGTAATACTTTCAACACTAATTTTTTAAAAAGTATATGGATTGTTTAACCACTATGAGGTACACCTGAAACTAATACAAAACAATATTAAATGTAAACTATAATTTTAAAAAAAGACTTTCCATAAAAATCACAGCAGCCCCAGTGGCTGGCAGCTACCACAGGAACAGTCTCCAGGAGCGTGAGAGCGTCAGTCAGTCAGACGCTGCGGAAGCAGGACTAACACTGGGGTCACGTGATTCAGGCTCCGCATCCTGCCAGGGCCCCTGCAGCTCTGGTTCCACCCCAGCTCTCCTGCTGGCCAGTGGTCTGAACCTGCCTTGACCACCTTCAGTTCTGTGTGTTTTTAAATAATTTTGTGATTTCAGAGAGGAAGGAAGAGGAACAGAGAGATAGAAACATCAATGATGAGAAAGAATCATTGATGGGGTGCCTCCTGCACACCCCACTCTGAGGATGGAGCCGGCAACCGGGGTCTGTGTGCCAACTGGGAAGCCAAACATGACCTCCCGTCCATGGGTCAGCGCCTTAACCCTGCCGGCAACCAGCTTTAGCTTTGTCCAGATGACACAGGGACATAGTTTACCCAGCTCTCTGGTGATCGTGACGTCATTAACAGTTATTAATATCATAAATTCACTAACATTAGCAGGGAATGATAAAGCAAACTGTTATTCCCAGTGTTAATTTTCCAACAAGGCAGGGAAGGCAAGAGTCTGAAACCTCAATAAGAAATCATGTTTTTATTCCTTAAGATTTCAAAAAACTCAGCCTTCATAATGTTCTTTAAAGAGATGTAAAGAGCCAAAACCAGTTTGGCTCAGTGGATAGAGCGTTGGTCTGTGAACTGAAAGGTCCCAGGTTCGATTCCGGTGAAGGATGTACATTGGTTGCGGGCGCATCCCCAGTGGGACACAGCTGGTCGATGTTCCTCTCTCATTGATGTTTCTAGCTCTCTATCCCTCTCCCTTCCTCTCTGTAAAAAATCAATAAAATATATTTAAAGAGATGTAAAGTCAGAGGGAAAATTTTTGGCCAACATTCTCAAGACATTCGCTTTCTAAAAGCAGTAGTCATCTTGTTGTTTTAAAAAGCTTATAGATCAGGGGAAAGTGGTCTCTTTCAACTTATGAGGCTTTAAGCACACGAAGGCAAAGGGTACTGATTTCTCAGTAATGCCAACATGCTTTTGAACTAACCTGAACTGCAGCCGCATCCTGGTTATTATGGTGGTAGAGCAGTCCCAGTGCAAAATACCTGCAAGGAAACAGTGCGGTGAGTGCCCTCCCGCCTTCTGTGGTGGCACCCACACAGCGACACCCACCCTGCATTCTACTCCACTCCGAGTTCAGCAACAAGATCCTCGTTTCTGCTTATTTACTTATAGAGGCTCAGTGCACGAATATCCCTCAGCCTGGCCTGCACCCTCTCCAACCTGGGACCCCTTGGGGGACATTGCTCTCACAATCTGGGACCACTGGTTCCTAACCACTCACCTGCCTGCCTGCCTAATTGCCCCTAACCACTTCTGCCTGCCAGCCTAATCGCCCCCTAACTGCTCCCCTGTTGGCCCAATCACCCCCAACTGCCCTCCCCTGCCAGCCCTATTGCCCTCTACTGCCCTCACCTGCTGGTCTGATTGCCCCCAACTGCCCTGCCCTACAGGCCTGGTCACTCCCAGCTACCCTCCCCTGCAGCCCTGGTTGCCCACAACTGCCCTCCCTTGCAGGCCAGGTCGCACCCAACTGCACTCCCCTGCAGGTCCGGTTGCTCCCAACTACCCTCCCCTGCTGACCTGGTGGCCCCCAACTGCCCTTCCTTGCTGGCCTGATGGCCCCCAATGGCCCTCCCCGCATGGCCTGGTTGCCCCCATCTGCCCTCCCCTGCCAGCCATCTTGTGATGGCCATCTTGTGATGACGTCACAGCAGCCATCTTGTGACGATGTTGCGTGACGCCTCCTAGGCTTTTATTATATAGGTTGGTGTTAAATGCATGCCCAACACCCTGGCTGGTGGCAAATAGAGTGTCCTCCTGGGCACCAAAAGTCAGCAGGCCCAACTCCTGGTCGGGGCACATAACCAGGTTGTGGGTTCCATCCCTGGTTGGGGCATGTACAGGAGGCAACCAGACCGTTTCTCTCTGACATCAATCTATCTGTCTCTCTCTCTAAGTATATTAGCTGGTTGAGGATTAAAATAAAAAATTTGTGCCCTATCAATTTCCAAAAAAAAATCACATTCAAGTTAAGCTGATAAATATGACTTTACTATGGAAAATGACATTTGAAATTTCTTTACAATTTGCTGCAAATATTACTATAATTTCATATCTCTTCAGTTAGCCATTTTAACCTAATGTTAAAGGACTGTTTGGAAGGTTTGCTACCTGAACTATTATTACAAGAAGGAGTAAGGAGTTTGAACAGCAGTAAAGACCAACAGGGTCCAGGCATCACAAAGCACAGAACGTCAGGGCAGGTCCTGGGGGAGGACCAGAGTTTAAGGACATGAGTTTCTATTTAGGCTTTATTACTTATGGCCTGTGTGACCTTGAGCAAGTAGAAAGGATGAGCGATGACATTGGCATTGCCTGAGGAGTGAGCCACGGCCACCCTCACGAGCTCTGCAAGTGTGTCCTGCTCCGGTCCCTCCTCCCCAGCAGGGTCTGGAGCAAGGGACACAGAGGTGTCGGATTCCTCCACAAAGAGCAAACTCCCAGGACACCACTGCCTGCTGGGCCCCTTCCTTCTCTTTTCCTCACGCTGACTCTCCGGACCTGTCATCCCATTGCTACCATGAGGTGTCCGTGTATTTTCTGTCCTAAACCAAATGACTCCGCTCCACAGCGCGTTCAGGAATCGGAGGGGCAGCTGGAGGAGCCAGCGCCACGTGGAGACCAGCCACCGGACGCTGGTCTTGGTCTCAGCACTGGACGCACCACAGGCCCGGGAGATTTCACCAGGGCGGTGTCATTTCAAATACATAACAACCACCACAGCCAGAGCACCTGATTGCTGAGTGGAGCATGGGGGTCACCCAACACTTGTAAAGATTGGACCACGTGACACTGGCAGCAGGAGGAAGCTACCACAGCCTTTGGTCCATGTCCTCGGATTTGCTGCCCTCGAGTGAGGGAGGGTGGCCTTCTACCAACGCGTACGCATAACCAAGACAGTTTTAAGCCAGAACCTCTTAACCACGAGACCAAGAAGCCCCTTTTATCTGTTCATCCAGATGTCTGTCTGTCTATTCAGACTGGTCATCAGGGGCTAACGAACACCATTAACTGTGCCAACACAGACTGGTGTCTCCCACAGCGAATCCTGCCTGGAACATGGGGTGACCTAAGACCACTTCCCTCCCTACAGGCCGGCCAGCTCCCGCGGAAGGTGCCCCGAGGGGCGCTGGCTGTCTCTGGGACTTCAGGGCAGCCCCTCGAAGGGCCTCGTCAGCTCGAACCCCCGGGCTCAGCAGCTCAGCAGCAGCCTCCACGGCGGAAGGCCACTCACCGCTTGTGCTTCTCCAGCCAGGCCGCGCTGTCGGCCAGCAGGCAGGCGTTCTCGCCGTCCAGCAGGCCCAGCAGGCCGGCGTGGCCGGCCTCCGCGTACAGCTTGAGCAGCGCCGTGTCCACGTCCTCCCGGTAGCTGCGCACGGCCTCCGTGCCGCGCACTTCGTCCAGGTAGCTCATGAGGAAGCGCTTGCACCGGGCCGCCTTCTCCTGGTCGCCCTGCGCCAGCTGGTTCAGGTCTGCGTACTCGTGGAGAGGAGGGTGAGACCGCGCGAAGGAAGAGGAGGTGGGCAACAGGAAGGGGCACAGAGAGATCAGCTCCCGGACGTCAAGCTGGCCGCTTCTGCAATTACAGTGTCAAACTAAATGAAGCAAAAAGAGAGAGAGAGTGCACTAGGCACACACACAGCACTGGAGGGAGGGCGTGCACTCTGGCACAGGGCGGAGAGCGGCCAGCCCCTGGAGACCGCCTTCGCCTGCGTGTGCGGCACCGCACCCCGAGCCGAGTGCCGCCCGACTCCCACAGAGGGAGGGGCGGAGGGAGGGCGCACAGCGCGTGCTGCAGTGACACTCGGACACAGCTGACCCACGTGGGCTGTGGGCTCCCCAGGCCCAGGCAGAGAGACACAAAGGCAACCCCCACAGCACCGGGCGGGTCCTCACTGCTCCCTCCAGGATGCTGACCGTCCTAAAGGCTCTGCGAGACCCCAGCCTACAGCCTCCTCGGCAGGCTCCTGGGACCAGGGACACAGCGCCCGCGGCCCTCGCTGTGACTCCTGAAGACTCAAACGGCCAGCAGTCCTAACCTGGCAAGGCCCAGGACGCCCTCCATGGCCACCGCATCGCCGCTCCCTCTCCCCTCGCCTCCCTCCGCCCCAGTCCTGCCACGGAGCTAAAGCAGCAATGCCCAGCCTGGCCCGGGAGGGGCGAGGTGCCTGCCAGCCAACCTCCAGCAGCACAGGGCGGAGGACCGAGGACCAGCCCGGCAGTGAGAGAAGAGCTGTGAGTTTGTTAGCCCGTCTGCGGGGGCACAGGAAGGGGAGGCGGACTCGTGCTGGTCCCAGGAGGGTCCTCCTCCAGCCTCCCTCCTCCGGGCTCGCTGACAAAGCCAGCAGCAGTCCCCGTAACGGTGAGGGGCACAGGGCTGACGTGGACAGCACAGGAGCCTGCACCAGCCACGGACAGGCCTGCATTCATTCTCCCAGAATCAGCCACTTTTCTAGGGACGCCCACGACCGTTCACACGGGTGTTCAATGAGCCGGTGACAGGCCCTGCAGGACAGAGCGGGCGTGACCCCTCTCCGACCCCAAGCTAGTGGCTGTCCCGGCGCAGGTGACCACAGCGAGAACTCCCGCAGGCAGAGGTCAGAGGGCACCGGGCTCTCAGGGAACCCCTTCTTCACCCAGAGCCTGTTCTCTGCAGCTGGTCTGGTGACAAATCCCGTCAGGGTGCGCGGCCACGGCTAGTGCTGGCGGCAGGCCCTGCGGCTGCACAGACCCAGCCCGAGGCGGCCCCGCCGCAGGCTCTGCTCTGGCCCCGCACTCTGAAAGCTGCTCACAGGCACCGCGCTAGTGGGTATTCAGATGACGGAACAGGTTTCACTTGATCTTCTGCAAAGCATGCTGGGCACACAGTGTGAGTGGGAAGGGCAGCAGAACGGGTGAGACAGAGCAGGTGAGGGGCGAGGGTGGAGGGTGGAGAGCGGGTGAGTGGGGGAGAGGGGATGGGGGAGAGTGGGTGAGGGGCGAGGGTGGAGGGTGGAGAGCGGGTGAGGGGCGAGGATGGAGAGTGGGTGAGGGGCGAGGGTGGGGGGTGGAGGGCGGGTGAGGGGCGATGGTGGAGGGTGGAGGGCGGGTGAGGGGCGAGGGTGGAGGGTGGAGGGCGGAGGGCGAGACGGCCCAGGTACAGACAGGGTTACTCATGGAGCCGGGAACCTCCAGGGAGAAACACAACTTCCTGAGCGAGCAAATTATGAGGGGCCATTTACAGTCTTTAGAAAATCGTTTTCCTAAGTCCTTCCAAAACTACCTGCTCTTGTGCTAAACTCATAGCTTCTTGTGAAATCTCTGGGGAAAAGGAAAAGTGAACAACAGTGTTTTCCTAAAAACCCTCCACGCTTTCAAACCCACTCCAAACTCCCCTCTCCTGCCCTGAGCGTGTGCATCAGCCCACCCTCTAAGGCCGGGACCGTTAAAGGCTGAGAGGCAGGAGGGCCCGCCCTGAAGCACCAGGGAGCCAGGCGGCCCCTCCCGGCACAGCATCGAGGGGACTGAGCCCCGAGCCCAGAGGGACCCTCGGAAGCTGGCCACCGGCACGGAGTTACCTGAAGAGCTCCTTGGCCTCCGGGAACTGGAGCTGCGCGAAGTGGATGAAGCCGGCCTGCTGCAGGATCCTCCTGTACATGCCCTGGAAGAAAGGCAGCCTCAGAGCACGCCCAGGAGCTCCGCAGACACACCCCCACAGCACACGGCACCAAGCAAGGGGCCTTCGTCTCCTTGATGCCTCTTTCTTTTTCTTTTTCTTTTTTTTAATATACTTTATTTATTTTTTTACAGAGAGGAAGAGAGAGGGATAGAGAGTTAGAAACATCGATGAGAGAGATGTGCCCGCAACCAAGGTACACGCCCTTGACTGGACTGAACCTGGGACCTTTAGTCTGCAGGCCGATGCTCTGTCCACTGAGCCAGTTTCGGCATCGATGTCTTTCTTAAAGCGCCACATTCTGTGTCTCTTTGGATCTCTAGAAGAGACAGTACTCCTTTACTCCCAGCCCCTCAGTCAAACTCTGATAAGCCCTCCGTAGCTCTCAGAGGAGCAAGATCAGTTCTGGCTTTAACTGAAGAGAACAGGGTGAGCGGTGAGATGCCAGCCTGCTGACTGCCTGGTCTCCTTCCTCTCCCTTTCCGGCTCCTCTTAGCCTGGGGCCGGCACTTGGACCCATCATCCTACAGTTACAATAAGTGATGTGCCTATGGTAAGAGTCTCATCTAACCCTAAAAACACAAACCTCCAGGACACATGTGTCAAATCCGTCCCGCCAGGCCTTGCAATGTGGCCCGCACCGCGCTGTCATCACTGCACTCCGCTGCGTTTCCATCACAATGACAGTTTATGATTGTTCAGTAAACCGTTCGGCCCGCGATTTAGGCTGGATTTTAGATTTTGGCCCCTTCTCTGACTGAGTTCGACACCCCTACTCTAGGAGAAGGTAGCTCTAAACACCACCTCTGTCCCACGCACCACACCATGGCTGCCGGGAGCCCAGGCCACAGGGGGGACCGCACGGACCCATTCCTTAGCTCAGCCCAGAGATGAGCAGAGATGGAACCGAGAGAGGAGTCTGCCGGAGCAGGGGGCTCCGGGGACAGGCATGGCTCGGCAAGGCACGGAACAGGCACTTACAGTCCGGAGGTAGCTCCAGTAGAGCAAGGCGGGGAAGGGGATGGTGGCGAGCACACAGCAGGCCCGCACCGGAGACAGGCCCAGCGCTCCACTCTCCCCAGCTGCCGCGCCTTCCTGCCTGAGGTACTGGTTATGTTCTAACTGCTCTGAGGACTAAAATGTGGTACCTGCCCCTCAGAGGGCTCAGCCGCTGTTCCCGTCCTCCACCCCGTGGTTCAGGCGTGTTCACAGGGCGACAGAGGGGGCAGGAGAGGAGGGAGGGGGCAGGAGAGGAGGGGGGGGAGGAGAGGAGGGGAGGGGAGAGAGGAGAAGAGGGGAGGGGCAGGAGAGGAGGGGAGGGGCAGGAGAGGAGGGGAGGGGGCAGGAGAGGAGGGGAGCGGGCAGGAGAGGAGGGGAGGGGGCAGGAGAGGAGGGGAAGGGGCAGGAGAGGAGGGAGGGGGCAGGAGAGGAGGGGGGAGCAGGAGAGGAGGGAGGCAGGAGAGGAGGGAAGGGGGCAGGAGAGGAGGGGAGGGGGCAGGAGGGGAGGGGGCAGGAGAGGAGGGGGGGCAGGAGAGGAGGGGAGGGGAGAGGAGGGGAGGGGGCAGGAGAGGAGGGAAGGGGAGAGGAGGGGAAGGGGCAGGAGAGGAGGGGATGGGGCAGGAGAGGAGGGAAGGGGAGAGGAGGGGAGGGGGCAGGAGAGGAGGGAAGGGGAGAGGAGGGGAGGGGGCAGGAGAGGAGGGGAGGGGTTAGGAGAGGAGGGAAGGGGGCAGGAGAGGAGGGGAGGGGAGGGGGTAGGAGAGGAGGGGAGGGGGCAGGAGAGGAGGGGCGGGGGAAGGAGAGGAGGGGAGGGGAGCGGGCGGGGCCGAGCTGGAGCACCTGAAAGGTTGGACTTGACTGTAGGCAGGGAGGCCCCCACAGAGGCATTGTACGCCAGGACTTGGTCTGCCCTTTAGAAAGGTCACCCCAGGGTGGCACAGGGATGGAGCAGGCACACCGAGGAGGCTGCTGGCACCAACCAGCGGCACAGACGGGCACGGAGAAAGGGCTGAGCCTGAGGTCCTCCTGAGGGTCCCAGGGCTGTGCGTGTTGGCAGCAACAGGGAGAAGGCAGGGAGCGTGTTAGAAAGGGGACACGCCAACTGAGGTATCGGACTAGAGAGCAAGACGGCTAGTAATGTCTAACACTCACTGCATGTGTCTGCTGTGGCAAGAAGAGAGGAGAAAAGCAAAAGCAGATAAAGAACCAGGAGAGCCTCTTTAAGAAAATGCTACAGCCATAGCTGGTTTGGCTCAGTGGATAGAGCGTCGGCCTGGAGACTGAAGGGTCCAGGTTCGATTCCAGTCAAGGGCATGTACCTTGGTGCGGGCACATCCCCAGTAGGGGGTGTGCAGGAGGCAGCTGATCAATGATTCTCTCTCATCGATGTTTCTAACTCTCTATTCCTCTCTCTTCCTCTCTGTGAAAAATCAATAAAATATATATTTTTTTAAAAAAGAAAAAGAAAAGTAATGTTACAAACTTAAAGTGTGCATGTGAGTGTGTGCACAAGGAGGACGCCCCAGGACCGGCTTGTCCGGCCATTCACCTTGTCTGCAGGCAGCAGCCCATGGTCCCTGATACACAGGAGAGAGGGGCGAGGGGCCCAGCAGGGTCTCAGGGCCCGGCTCCCGGCTCCTCGGCCCGGCTGGCAGCGTTAAGGAAAGCACCACAGGGCACTCAGGGGGCTCAGCACAGCAGGCCCTGCGCAGGCACCTTCTTCCTTTTGCCTTTGCTGCCCCCTGCTCAGTGCTAATAGGTAGGTCTTACTTTAAAAAATGAGGAAGATGAAAGTTTATCGCCATTTAAATATAGAAAAGATGCCTTCTTCCTCTCCCCATAACCAGTAAGTCTACTTCCTGCCTCTCACTCTCAGAACCTACCTTTTCCAGCACACAGCCACCTTTCATTCCACAGCATCAGTCATGGGGAACCTGACCCCTCTGTCATAATCGCAGTGTCACCCTTTCAGTGATGGCTCAGACATTCACAGGAATGCACCCTCACCCACGTCACATTTCTTTTCTCCCGGCTCCAGAGTGACCTGAACTAACCTGACAGTCCATCAAGCAGCAATTGTTAGGGAATGTGATTTCATTAGACATAAGAATAACTGGTGATTATTATACCCATTACATTTATCCATGCCAACTCTGTGAAAGTTCATGTTTCTTAAGGGCATTAAGTTTGCTCCTAAGGAAATTAATTAGGTGGACTCCTGCAATATTAGATAGTTATCAGTATGGTCAACCTGTAGATAATATAAACCTAAACTTTTATCATTCAGTCCCATCCCAACAAATACAAATTCTAAATGAGGGAACAAAATAACATGCTGCTACTCTTGGTTTTCAGAATTATGCCTGGATTCTTCTCTGAAGGCCCCTGAGGAAGGAAGCTGACCAGAAACACAGCTCTGTGTAGTCAGCACGGAAGCCGGAGGCTCCTGGCCTGGCCTGGCTCTCGGCAGTGTCCTGGGCCGTCTGCGCTCTGCACCTGTGCCCTCACCTGCAGGGGGTGTGCCCGGGAGCGCAGACTGGCACCCAGGAAGGTTCTTGTGGGCTAACCTGAGTGCTCTCTGCTCACTGCCCCGGACGCTTGCTTCCTGCGATCCGTAGCTACACACCTGGAATTTCTCCTTTGGAATGTTCCTCCGGGCTCCTTTTGCTAAAACCAGTGCCTCCTCCACTCGGTGGCTTGCTAGAAGGTCCTGTATTTGCTTTTCCAGAGGTAAGGGAACCAAGATGTAAACTCCTTTACTTGTGGCGACAATCACTCTTCCTGGGAAAAAAGTCAACCAGTTGGAAAGGGGAAGGCATTCTCCCGGCAAGAACACACACTGCTCCCCAGGCCGACCCTGCTCTGACTTGCTGATCGATATCATTGGCGTTCTCCCACACAGAATCACCGTGGAAACCAGAAATTACATCCCAAACTTCCACTGTCAGCAAAGGCCAAACTCTTAACACTACCTTTCCAAAGTATAAAATATCCTCTTCTGCATGTTTTTTATTTGAAAGTGCTGATAAATTTACAACCAGTTGAGTAGATACACAATATACAGTCTAATGAGGTTATACAGATCAGTTATGGAAAATTGTCAGTCCGAATTATGATGTACCTCATATAAAACTTTCAAAATTTTACCTTCTGTTTGTGTAAGTTACTTCACAGGAAATAGGATTATAACACAACGTTCTGAATGATGAGACAGTATTTCATACTCACCTGCCCTACAGACTCCTCCACATCTCAGCACCACCTTCCTCACTCCCCCAGCAGCTGCGAGCCACCCCACCCGCAGCCAACGTCACCCTCGTTCCCCCGGGGACCTTGCATAGCATCCACCCAGGAGTGCAACTACAGCCCGAGACCAGCTCCTAGTACAAAGCTTCATTTTTTAATCCTCGCCTGAGGAAATGTTTATTGATTTTAGAGAGAGCGAGCTAGAGAGAGAGAAACTTCAATCACTTGCCTCCCGCATGTGCCCCAGGCAGGGATAGAGCCCGCAGCCCAGGTATGTGCCCTGACCTGGAATCGAACCCACAACCTTTAGATGCATGGGATGATGCTACAACCAACGGAGTGACCCAGCCAGGGGCCAGGACAGCTTTTAAAGTGCGCTCTGCTGCGCCCCGGGGACGTGGCAGGCCGACTGTTACACGTTCGCAGGAAGCAATGGCAGGCTTTTCTCTCTGCCTCCAGGGGAGCTCCGGCCAGCCTCGCCTTTGCTGCTGTCAGCTCTCCTCCCCCTGCGCTCCTGCCCACTGCAGCCCAGCCAGCCCTCTCCCGGCCTGGATCGCACCGCGTCTCCCTCGCTGGTCCTCCTGCTCTGCTCTCGTCTAGATTATCTGTCTTCTGTTAGCACAGACTCGGGAGACTGTCCCCTCTCGGTGCTGGAGTGCCTGTTCCCAGGAAGCCTCCTTCGCTCCCTCCTAGGGTGGGCACCTCACCAGCCTCTCGGTGTACATGACCCGCCCACCTCCAGCACCCGAGGTACACGGCACCACAATACTGCTGTGAGATGTGTCCTCTGAGGCCCGTGTCAGGCCTTCAGCTGGAATGTGAGGGGCTTAACATGCCAGAGGACCCCTAGCAAGTTCACATCCCCAGCATCTCAAAAAGGAAGGGCAGCATGTGGTCAGCTAAGACCTTAAACGATACATGCAATGCATGAATCTAGACTAGTTCCTGGCTCGAAGGAGAGATCACAGCAGGCTCCTCAGGGACCCTGGAGACTCTGGCCACTGGCAGGACACGGGAGCTCACTCTAAGGTGCGAAGGGCGTTGTGGTTACGGAGGAAAGCGCACTGATTCCGAGGAGGCACGCTGGAGCATTACGGCTTAAACGCCGTGTGGTCCTCCACTTCCATTCAGCGCTAGGTGCTGCATCTAGGTGGGCGGTATGCAGAGGTTCACTTCATCTTCTCTCAACTCTTCGGCACATTTCCAAACATTCAATAAAGTTTACAAGGAAAACGAATCTGCCCCTGGCTCCCCACTGCACAGAAGAGGCAGTCCCTCCCTGACTGCCCGGGTCTCCTCACCTGACACCATCCTCCTCCCACACCGTGCACTACAGCCACCGGCCTGTTTCCGGGGCCTGCAGTGCAGGTCTGCATGCACCTTGCTCTCTCCCTGAAGGTTCTTTCATAGCACATGTGCTTGGCTGAGTCCTCACCCTTAAAGGTTTGGCTCAAATACCGCCTCCTTCAGGAAGTCCTCCCTGATATTCCTAGGAAATACTTCCTCCTCTGCTCTCCCCTTACTTCATTCTACCAGGCTCTTCAACAGCTGTACCTTCTGTTTAATGTCTCCCTCCCCACTGACCCCGAGGCCCCCGCAATGCAGAATGTGTGTTACCATCACCTGTGTATCTGCTATGCCCAGTATAAAGCCTGGTTCCTAACAGGCCCGGAGCAGTATTTACAGAGGAAATGTCACAAGAGAAGTGATAACTGAATTTCGTTAAGATCTCTGTCTAAGCGGGTACCTTCGAAGTCCTGCAGGATGTGGCCTTCCTTGAAGGGCAGGGTCTGCTTCTGCTGCTGGTCCAGCATGCTGTGGACCGTGATGAAGGCGTCGTCGAGGGCCAGGACATAGGGGAAGCAGACAGCTGCGCCGATCACGTTCTCTGACCAGTGCACAGGAGCCCGCCGAGAAATCCCAGCCACGGTGGCAAACATGCCTGGAAAACAGGGATTAGGAGGCCTTCAATAACTACTTATTTTCCTGCATCTGGATCAAATATCACCCACTTTCCTTATATCTCAGATAGGAAACATAATTTGCTGCATGTGTGAAGATCTCTATGTGACTTCATTTCCATGAGAACTAGCTTCCCAGAATGTATATCTTATACTCACTTCCAACTAAAAATGAAGGTAAACTGGGGGATTAAAAATGGCGGTGGAGTAAGTGGATGCTGCACGGACATGCTCCCAGGACCTAACTGGAATTACAACAGAGAAACTTCCTGGATAAGCAACTGAACACTCGCTTGAGAGGACCCTGATAAATGAGGACCGAAAGTGAGGACTACATAGAGGCTGGTAGGAGGGGCAGAGGTGCAAAAGGTCTAGCTGGCTGCCACAGACACCAGCTGAAGTTCCAGAGGATAGCTCAGCTCCAGGGGGGGAAGAGGAAGGGGTTCCCATTGAGAACTCTGGGATCTAAGCCCCAAGCTGCAAGCACCAGAATTGAGAAAGGTGACCACATAACATCTGGCTGTGAAAAGCAGCAGGGTTGCTGTCTGTCAGAAAGAGATGGCTAGAAATGCAGGCACCATCTTAAAGGGCCAACACACAAAATTCCCTGTGTAGCCACTCACCTTGTGCTCCAGCAGAAGGAGGGCAGAGTGAACTGGAGCTGTATGAGCAGAAGTCAAGATTGGAGACTCTGGGGTTTACTTCAAAAGGTAGACACCCCAGTTTCCAGTGCTCAGTCATTCCCTCATGCTGTGGAGGTCATCTTTCTCACACAGACATTTGCTATACAGGCAGCTTTGCCTGGGGGAAGACAGTTGACAGACTCTATTGGAAAGTACCTAGTCCCACAGTGTGGAATTACTGAGGCCCATTAAGAGACTGAGAATTAGAATTAGCCTCCCGGCAGAAGCAATTGCCCCACCCTGTTGGGGAAAACTTGTCATATCTGTAGGGATAGTTGAGACTAAATCCAATCAGTCTGCAAGCAGAAGCAGTCTCCAGAGTCTCAGAGTCTTTGCCTGATCTAATTAGGTCAGAAACAGTGTTTGACTATCCTACACTAAAGATTGAGAGGTGTAACAGATCTATCTAATACAAAGTCACAAACCCAAACAGGCAGCCAAAATGAGGAGACAAAGTAACAATCCCCAAATGAAAGAATAAGAGAATTCTCCAGAAGAAGAGAAAAATAAAATGGAGATAAAAACTTTATCTGATAGAGTAAGAAAAATGATAATAAAGATGCTCAACAGCAAGAGAAAAGATATAGTAACTATGAAACCAGAAATAAAGAAAGACAGCACAAATAAAGAACACATTAGAAGGAATACATAGCAGATTAGGAGTGGCTGAGAATCGGATCAGTGAATTAGAAGACAGGGTATAAAAATCACTCAATCAGAACCAAGAAGAAAAAAACCATTAAAAAACAGGAAAACAGCTTAAGGGAGCCAACATGAAATGTACAATATTCGTATAATAGGTGAATCAGAAGGGGAAGAAAGGGAGCAAGGGATAGAGAATGTGTTTGAAGAAATAATGGCAGAAAACTTTCCTAACCTGGTGAAGGTAAACATCATACAAGTTCAGGAGGCACAGAGAGTCCCAAGCAAGAAGAACCCAAATAGGCCCATGCCCACACTATCATAATTAAGATGCCAAAAACTATAAGACAAAGAGAGAACCTTAAAGGCAGCAAGAGAAAAGCAAACTGCTACCTACAAACAAGCTCCCAAAAGGCTGACACCTGACATCTCAATAGAAATTCTCCAGGCCAGGAGAGAAAGGCATAAAGTACTTATGGTAATGAAAAGCAAGGATCTGGAACCAAGACAACTATATCCAGCAAGGCTATCATTCAAAATAGATGGTCAAATAAAGAGCTTCCCAGACAAAAAAAAAAAAAAAAAAAAAGGAAGGATAAAGGATTTCATTATCACCAAACCAGCAATGCAAGAAACGCTAAAGGGACTGCTGTCATGAAAAGAAGAAAGAGAAACCTAAGCATTCAGAATTAAAATGGCAATCAATAAGTACCTATCAATAATAACCCTAAATGTAAATGGATTAAATGCTCCAATCAAAAGGCATAGCTGGATGGATACAAAAACAAGACTCAACTATATGTTGTCAACTAGAGACGCAGCTCAGAAAAAAAGATTCACACAGGATGAGAGTGAAGCGATGGAAAAGAACTTTCCATGCAAATAGAAAAGAAAAAAAAGCTTGGGTAGCAATACTCATATCTGACAAAATAGACTTCAAAATGAAGGCCATCACAAGAGACAACATAGGTCACTACGTAATACTAAAGGGATTCTGTGAACATATATGCGTCCAATATAGAAACACATAAATATATTTTAAAACTTTCTAGAGGACTTTAACTAGTTAACTGCCATGATATTTTGAATTTAATTAAAAATGGTCCAATGCGACTAGGAATAAACTTAACCAAGGAGATAAAAGACCTGTACTCAGAAAACTACAAGACCTAAAAGAGAGAGAGAGGAAGATGTAAACAAGTGGCAGAACAGTCCGTGTCCACAGACTGCCAAATGTGGTGAGTTTGACTCAGGCACACATGGGAGGCAATCGATTGATGTTACCTCTCACACTGATGTTTCTCTCTCTCTCCCTTCCTCTCTCTCAAAGCAATAAAATGGAATAAATAACATTTAAAAACAAACTTCTAAGCTCTGTCCACTGAAGAGGCCTAGAAACAACAGCCAGAAGCTCCTCTGGCACTCAGACTGTGGTCTCTAAACGGCAGGGCTCCTTGGCAACGTGGGAAACTGGTCTAGGGCAGAAAGTGCCAGGTGAACTAGAAGCACCTTGCCATCCTAAAGGCAAGGAAGCTGTCACAGTGCAGGGCCATGGGAAGGGATTATCCTTCAACCTTAACAAACGCCCACACGGACGATGGCTTGGCTGCAAGTACACTGTATATATTAAAATCAGTGGTTCCTAATTATAATGTTAAAAGGTCACTTCTGGAAGACAGAGGGAACACCTTATTGAAAACCTCCTCCTGCCCAAATAGAAGCATTTCTCTTCCTCAAGGAACTACAGTTCACACGTGAAGGAGGGACAGACCGAGAATGTTGCCACTAGTTTGTAGATTTAAAAATGTAGGCAGGCCCTAGCCAGTGTGGCTCAGTGGACAGAGTGTCAGCCTGTGGACGTAAGAGTCCCAGGTTCATTCTATCCAAGGGTACATGCCCAGGCTGCAAGCTCGATCCCCAGTGCGGGGGGGGTGTGTGTGTGTGTGTGTGTGTGTGTGTGTGTGCAGGAGGCAGCCAATCAGTGATTCTCTCTCACCATTGATGTTTCTCTCTTTCTCTCCCTCTCCCTTCCTCTCTGAAATCAATAAAAAAATATATTGTTTTTAAAAATACATAGGCAATACTCAGCAATAACTATTAACAACCCAGACGCAATCACAAGAAAGTGTGTAACCTGACAGAAGTTACCTGACAGAAGTTCCCTGCCTATGAATAAGCCTTTTTTTATATATATATATTTTATTGATTTTTCAGAGAGGAAGTGAGAGTGATAGAGAGTTAGAAACATCGATGAGAGAGAATCATCGATCAGCTGCCTCTTGCACACCCCCTACTGGGGATGTACCCACAACCAAGGTACATGCCCTTGACCGGAATCGAACCTGGGACCTTTGATTCCGCAGGCCGATGCTCTATCCACTGAGCCAAACCGGTTTCGGCAAGTCTTGCCTCTCCTCAGAAACCAGCAAAAACGACACTTGAATCTGACCAAACCTCTCCTGTTCCCAGTTTGCAGGAGACACAAAAGTCAGCCTCACATATTCAACAATATGCAATGGAAATGATCCAGCTTTTACAACAGAAAATTAAAGAAAAATAAAAGAGAAAGATGAGGGAACCTAAAGATAAGAGAAACTGAACAGAAGTTGTAATGTCTAGGCCTGGAATTAATGACTCACACAAACTGGAAAGTGAACACTAACACACTTTCACACACGTGCATGCACATTACAGAGCCCTAGCACCACAGACTGTGCACACCCTGAGGGAGCCACCCACACCTGCACCTCACACCCCTGCCCACACCCTGAGGAAGCCACCCACACCTGCACCTCACACCCCTGCCCACACCCTGAGGGAGCCACCTACACCCCCACCTCACACCCCTGCCCACACCCTGAGGGAGCCACCCACACCCCCACCTCACACCCCTGCCAACACCCTGGGGGAGACACCCACACCTGCACCTCACACACCTACACCTCACACCCCTGCCCACACCCTGGGGGAGACACCCACACCTGCACCTCACACACCCACACCTCACACCCTGGGGGAGACACCCACACCCGCACCTCACACACCCACACCTCACACCCCTGTCCACACCCTGAGGGAGCCACCCACACCCGCACCTCACACACCCACACCTCACACCCTGAGGGAGCCACCCACACCCCCACCTCACACCCCAGCCCACACCCTGAGGGAGCCACCCACACCTGCACCTCACACCTCTGCCCACACCTTGAGGGAGCCACCCACACCTGCACCTCACACACTCGCACCTCACACTCCTGCCCACACCCTGGGGGAGACACCCACACCTGCACCTCACACCCCTGCCCACACCCTGAGGAAGCCACCCACACCCCCACCTCACACCCCTGCCCACACCCTGAGGGAGCCACCCACACCTGCACATCATACACCCCCACCTCACACCCCTGACCACACCCTGAGGGAGCCACCCACACCTGCACCTCACACACCCCCACCTCACACCCCTGCCCACACCCTGGGGGAGACACCCACACCTGCACCTCACACACCCACACCTCACACCCTGCCCACACCCTGGGGGAGACACCCACACCTGCACCTCACACCCCCACACCTCACACCCTGAGGGAGACACCCACACCCGCACCTCATACCCCTGCCCACACCCTGGGGGAGACACCCACACCCGCACCTCACACCCCTGCCCACACCCTGAGGGAGCCACCCACACCCCCACCTCACACCCCTGCCAACACCCTGGGGGAGACACCCACACCTGCACCTCACACACCCGCACCTCACACCCCTGTCCACACCCTGAGGGAGCCACCCACACCCGCACCTCACACACCCACACCTCACACCCTGAGGGAGCCACCCACACCTGCACCTCACACACCCACACCTCACACCCCTGCCCACACCCTGGGGGAGCCACCCTGCGGAAGTAAACATCACAGGTTGCCACTGAAGTCGGTAGCTTTGATTCTTAGCTTCAGCGTGGCAGGGCAGAGAATGAGGAAGACCTTACAAAACCCCCACAGCCCTCTCAAGGTGCTGGCTACTAGATCTTTCTTGCCGGGATGAAATCTCAGTCAATTAAGAGAAAATTGTGTCAGTAACACTGAGTCTCTGCATCTGAAAAGACCTATTGGTGAGCTACTGAAATCCTTTAGAGACTGAAGAGCAAAGACAATCCATGACACCCCCATGCACCAGAGGAAATCTTACCCGGAAGGCTGCGGACCTTTATTTTACAGTTATTTACTTAAAGGAATCTTCTTCCCAGAGCAAATCTGGCTCCATATCAATACAACATAAAACTAGAGAACAAATAAAACAGACACAGACTCACAGATACAGACTGCGTGTTGTCAGAGGGGAGGGGGGCTGGGGAACTTGATGAAAAAGGTGAAGGGATTGAGAAGTGCAGATTGGCAGTTAGAAAACAGTCACAGGCTGTGAGGCACAGCACAGGAAAACAGTCAATAAGCCTATGTAATAAAAGCCTAATATATTAAGTGCCTGGTCAGCCAATTGTTATGACATGCACTGATCACCAGAGGGCAGACACTCCAACCAGTAGGTTAGCTTGGAAGGCTGGGATCCGGCCAATCGGGACTGAGCAAGTCGGGTCAGACATGCCTGGGGCCCTCCCGTGGCCCCTCCCTGGCTGTCCAACCTTCTATGTCCCTCCCTGGCCTCAATCATGCATCAGTGGGGTCCCCCTATCTGGCCTGCACCCTCTTGCAATTCAGGACCCCTCGAGGGATGTTGGAGAGAGAGCCAGTCTGGGCTGATCCCGCAGGCCAGGAATTCGTGCACCGGGTCTCTAGTGTTATAATAACTATGCAAGGTGCCAGGTGGCTGTGTGAGATACCAGGGTCTACTTTGTAAAGTATAATACATGGCTGTCTAACCGCGTGCGATGCTGTACACCGGACACTAAGACAAAGTAATATGGAATGTGAACTGGAATTGGAAAATAATTTAAAAGACACTGGCTACGTGACCACCCTGATGTCAGCGTGAAGTTGTGGAGGTAACTGCAGAGAATGGGCAGGCGGAGCGAGGGCAGCGGGTGCCAGCAGGAGCTCACCCAGTCCTCCCGGGCCCGCCAGCAGGAACTCCTGCCGCCCGATCCGCTTGACGATGGGGCGCTTCTCCTCGCTGCAGTAGGGAAACAGGTCCTGGGCGGCGCCCGTGCTGTAGTTGAGGATGATGTACTGCGTGGTCAGGGCCAGGCACAGGAAGTGGCCGTCCACGGCCACCGCCAGGGGCTGCTCCGGCGTGGACACCTCGCGGACGATCTGGACCCGGTCCTCGTACACCAGGAACACCTGCACGGTGCGGCGCTTCACGGAGATGGTGCAGACCTCCACGCAGAACGGGTCCCCGCTCACCGGGTTCTCGTTCAGGGCCAAGGCCACGGCGCCCTTGATGCGGGCGCCCGAGGGCACCGGCTCCAGGCTCAGCATGTGCACCAGGGAGATGGAGCAGTCGCACAGCACCAGCAGCCTGTGCAGGGCCGAGGCGGCGCGCAGCTCGCTCACCGGCTTGCGCAGGCCCAGGTGCCGCTGCAGCTGCTTGGTGGCCGTGAAGGCGGCGGTGCCGGCCGGCAGGCTCTGCTCCTCCAGCAGGAAGTGGTGGATGGAGCAGTCGTTGGTGCCCACGTACAGGTTCTTGCCGCAGCACTCCACGCACTCGATGCTGACGCGCTCCTTGTCGCCCATCAGCAGCTCCCGCTCCACGGCGGACACCAGCGTGAAGGCCTTGGTGCCCATCATGCCCGCTGGCCTGCAGGGAGAGGACGGGAGACAGTGCTTACCGACGGGAGCGAGCAGAGCCGTTTCCCAGCACAGCAAGCACGCGCTGACCCCTCAGTCACCACGGCAGGGAGAGGAAAGCGCAGCGTTCACTCTGTTAGAACCTGAAGGCGCAGGGTTCCCACGTGCCTCCTCCCCCCAGACCAGTGGTCGGCAAGCTCAGTAGTCAACAGAGCCAACTATCAACAGTACTATCACTGACATTTCTTCTGAGAGCCATATTTTTTAAACTTAAACTTCTTCTAACGCCACTTCTTCAAAGTGGACTCGCCCAGGCCGTGGTATTTTGTGGAAGAGCCACACTCAAGGGGCCAAAGAGCAGCATGTGGCTCTCGAGCCGCAGTTTGCCGACCACGGCCCCAGACCAGTGGAGAGGCCAGCAGGAGGGCCAGCGCTCATCCATCCAAGAGGGGAGGGTGCTGCGGTCCACGTGGGCTTCCTCGCGCTCAGAGGAGACACACCTGTGAGCAGAAGGCAAGCACACGTTCTCCCCACAGACAACATGAAACTGTGTAAAAGGCAGGAACGACCATCCCGGCCCGGCCATGAGTTCGGCATGTGGTGAATGGTGGGACGCATACATGTTCCTGCCCCCTGGGCCTTGGCAGGAACACTGGGCAGAACCACACTCGCTTCCTCGGATTCTTCCCTGTGAGGGTGCCCGTGTCAGGCACCACCGAGGTCTCCAGAGAGAGTGTGTCCCCCAGAGAGAGTGTCCCCCCCAGAGCGAGTGTGTCCCCCAGGGAGAGAGTGTCCCCCAGGGAGAGTGTGTCCCCCAGGGAGAGTGTGTCCTCCAGAGAGAGTGTGTCCCCCAGAGAGAGTGTGTCCCCCAGAGAGAGTGTGTCCTCCAGAGAGAGAGTGTCCTCCAGAGAGAGTGTGTCCCCAGAGAGAGTGTGTCCCCCAGAGAGAGTGTGTCCCCCAGAGAAAGAGTCCCCCAGAGAGAGTGTCCCCCAGAGAGTGTGTCCCCAGAGAGAGTGTGTCCCCCAGAGAGAGTGTCCCCCAGAGAGAGTGTGTCCCCCAGAGAGAGTGTCCCCCAGAGAGAGTGTGTCCCCCAGAGAGAGTGTGTCCCCAGAGAGAGTGTGTTCCCCAGAGAGAGTGTGTCCCCCAGAGTGTGTCCCCCAGAGAGAGTGTGTCCCCCAGAGAGAGTGTGCCCCAGAGAGAGTGTGTCCCCCAGAGCTAGTGTGTCCCCCAGAGAGAATGTGTCCCCAGAGAGAGTGTGTTCCCCAGAAAGAGTGTGTCCCCCAGAGTGTGTCCCCCAGAGAGAGTGTGTCCCCCAGAGAGAGTGTGTCCCCCAGAGAGAGTGTCCCCCAGAGAGAGTGTGTCCCCAGAGAGTGTGTCCCCAGAGAAAGTGTGTCCCCCAGAGAGAGTGTCCCCCAGAGAGAGTGTGTCCCCCAGAGAGAGTGTCCCCCAGAGAGAGTGTGTCCCCCAGAGAGAGTGTGCCCCAGAGAGAGTGTGTCCCCCAGAGCTAGTGTGTCCCCCAGAGAGAATGTGTCCCCAGAGAGAGTGTGTCCCCCAGAGTGTGTCCCCCAGAGAGAGTGTGTCCCCCAGAGAGAGTGTGCCCCAGAGAGAGTGTGTCCCCCAGAGAGAGTGTGTCCCCCAGAGAGAATGTGTCCCCAGAGAGAGTGTGTTCCCCAGAGAGAGTGTGTCCCCCAGAGTGTGTCCCCCAGAGAGAGTGTGTCCCCCAGAGAGAGTGTCCCCCATAGAGAGTGTCCCCCCCAGAGAAAGTGTATCCCCAGAGAGAGTGTGTCCCCCAGAGAGAGTGTGTCCCCAATAGAGAGTGTCCCCCCCAGAGAGAGTGTGTCCCCAGAGAGTGTGTCCCGAGAGAGTGTGTCCCCCAGAGAGAGTGTGTCCCCCAGAGAGAGTGTCCCCCAGAGAGAGTGTCCCCCAGAGAGAGAGTGTCCCCAGAGAGAGTGTGTCCCCCAGAAAGAGTGTCCCCCAGAGAGAGAGTGTCCCCCAGCGAGAGTGTCCCCTAGAGAGAGTGTCCCCCAGAGAGAGTGTGTCCCCCAGAGAGAGTGTGTCCCCAGAGAGAGTGTGTCCCCCAGAGAATGTCCCCCAGAGAGAGTGTCCCCCAGCGAGAGTGTCCCCTAGAGAGAGTGTCCCCCAGAGAGAGTGTGTCCCCAGAGAGAGTGTGTCCCCAGAGAGAGTGTCCCGCAGAGAGAGTGTGTCTCCCAGAGAGAGAGTGTCCACGTGGAGGAAAGATGGGCACATCCCGCATCTTAGGGAGGGCTGGCAAGGTACCGGTCCCTCCCAATGAGCACAGGCTGCCCACGCTCGCCTGGCTTCCTCCTCCCTGAAGGGCTGAGCTTTCACTACACGAGGGCAGAGGCAAGGGGGCCTGTCCTGACCTCCGTCCCTGCCACCCTCACGCGGGAGGGAGCACGCTCCGAGGGCTGCAGGGGACTGAGCGGGAGGCTTCGAGAACTGTCTGCCGCGGCAAGCTGCCCCGGACCCGGTGCCTCCTGCGAAATAACTTCCTTAACCTCCTTGCAAAAGCTGGACGAGTCCTTGGAAATGTTCAGGAGAGATGTATGCATCGGGGGAGGGTAGGAATCAACTCAGATTTTAGACTGCTCTAATTTCTTACCCCGTCCACTGGGGGGCGACTCTACACACGGGAGCCTCCGCTTCCCCTCTGTGGTCAGAGGGCCCAGGGCTGGGGCAAGGATCCCACTGGCACCTCAGCTTCTCCCTGTCCCTGCCTGTCACTTAGTACCGTAGCTACTCGGCCTGGGGGAGCTACATGACCTGAGGGGAACATCACACGCCTGCCCACACGTGACCACCCACACCTGCACATCACACACCTGCCCACACGTGACCACCCACACCTGCACATCACACACCTGCCCACACGTGACCACCCACACCTGCACATCACACGCCTGCCCACACGTGACCACCCACACCTGCACATCACACACCTGCACACACGTGACCACCCACACCTGCACATCACACACCTGCACACACGTGAACACCCACACCTGCACATCACACACCTGCACACACGTGACCACCCACACCTGCACATCACACACCTGCACACACGTGACCACCCACACCTGCTCCAAGAGCCAGCGCTCTGTCCGCGGCCCTGAGCTGGCGGCCCGTGGCCCTGACTGACAGACTGGAATGCAGTCATTTCATTTACAGGGGCCCGTCCTCACGGCGCTGGGAAAGGCGCTCAGCGGCCTCGGAGGGGGGTCCTCCATCCATCTCTCGGGGTCACACCCCGGGCCCGGGAAAGCCTCGGGCTGGGAAGAGGCTTTGGTAGGACAAGTTTACACATCACAGCCCACGTGCCGTGACCAAGCGGCATCACAAACCCACCCTGACACGGCTGCTTCCACGGAAATCCTGACGAATGACAGACAGACGCTGGAACGTAAGCTCAGTGCAGTCACACCGACAGTCCTTCCCCGTGGCGGGCGCAGGGGCGGCCCTCCTCTGGGAGTGAAACCTGCGGCCGAGGGGCAGGCTGCAGGCACCGACTCCCACTCCGCCATTTAACTAGGATTATTGTCCATATTCTAGTCTCTAACCTCTACCCAGCAAAGAGGCAAACAAAGACGTTTGCCGTAAAGAATACAGCATGGCCTTGAACAACATGGGGTTTGGGGTGCCTGCCCCCCACGTAGCTGAAAATCCACAGAAATCAAAGTGCCCTCGGCACACGCGGACTCCCGGCCGCCAGCCGGTCCTTGGACAATACGGGTTTGAACTGCACAGGCCCAGTGGACGGAGGGTCCCCTGAGGAAAATCCAGCATAAGCGGACCCACACAGTTCAACCCGAGGCCAAGTGTATGCGGAAAGCAACCACACACCTCGTATTCAGCCTAAATCCTGGGGTGGACGGCGAAGGAAAGGAGAGGAGACAGTTGTTAAAAGGAACTTCAGTTTGTTAAAAAGTCCTATTTCTATAATGTTTAAAAAGACATGCAATATTGTTTCATTACGTGGTAATCAGTGACTCAAGTCTTGCTAAAAATAAGTGTCCCACTCTAGGCCTTTAAGTGAGGGGCCTGCTTTAATAATTAAATGGCAACTTATAAAACGCAGGAGAATGCTGCCAATAACACAGCAGAGTGAGACGTTCCTTCTTGCCCGTTCTAAACAACAAATTAGACAGCCGTCCGCAAACAAACGCTCCCTGTGGGTGCGGTGGGACGGGGCGGACACCCACCCAGACCCGCAGTGACAGGCAGACAAACTCAGTACAGCCTCCCTGACCCCTCCCCACGGCTGGAGTGAAAACCAGGGGGCGAGGAGGCATCAGGATTTCAGAGATGCTGGGGTGGGACGTGGACAAACACAGGCTGGGAACCACTGCACGAGAGCAAAACAAACAAACCAACCACACGGAGCTGGTGACAGCAGAGGCAGCGGAGGGAAACTTCCAGCACCACCTGCGGAAACTGCCTGGGGGACCTTCCCGCCGTGGCCACCCGGCCGGGAGGAAAGGACAGGACGGCGGTGAGTGAGTGCCGGCTGCCTGCTGTGCAGGAAGAGGCTGGAGACGCCAGCAGGACCTCCGTGACTGGGAGGACCAAGGGCTGGAAAGAGGCAGATGGGAATTTCAAAGGGAATGAAAGGAATCAGATGCAGAAGGAAGCCCATCGCCAGCCTCTGGGTGTCTCACACCCAGGCATCTCCCCCTGGGTCTGCAGGCACCCCCGGCGCCTGAGCACTGAGCCCCCCTCCCCACCCTCTGTGCCAGCTCCTGTGTGCTCTGTGTGCAGAGAGAGGGAGAGAGAGAGAGAGAGAGAGAGAGAGAGAGAGAGAGAGAGAGAGAGAGAGAGAGAGAGAGAGAGAACACCCCGGCAGACAGGAGCCCACTCAGAAAGCGGGCAGGGGAGCGACCACATACTGGAGCTATACCACCACCTTCTGGGAAACAAGAGAGGTTTGCAGCGAGTTATGAGAACCAGAGAAGCCATAAAAGCTGGAGGATTCAGTCACAGGAGGGAAAT